TAATAAATAATTTTGTTAATTTACTTTTTCTACTTTTTCTACTTTTCTTACTTTATTTACTTCTAATCCTACAGTGTCTATTAAATCAAAAGTAGCTATTAAAAAATCTGAGTCATAGCCCTTCAGTACTATATTTACTGTTGAGTCTCTACAAAATCCTAGAGTATATAGTTAGAGTCTAAGAGTTCTAAAGTGACTTCTAGATTTGTAGAGAAGGCTTCTTACTACAAATCCTGCTCATTACTCATTATTACTCTAATAACCTAACAGATATACTATTACTTCTACAGACAGTCCTTAATCTAGTGCCCTGACTTTCTATAGACAAAGTATGCTTCTTACTTTTAGGCTTCTCTAATGTCTATCAGAACAGATTGATTGTAAATTACAGACAGATTAATCTGAGAGTTTAGAACTGTTAGAGCTAAATGTATGTATAAGCATTCTGTACAGACTTAATACATCTGAGCTACAGCTTGGTTGAAGGAAATAGTGTGTGTCTTCTACTCAGTGTAAGTAACTAGTTCTAGTATCATTCTAAGAATCTTATTAACTAGTTCTAGGTAAAGAGCTTTTTCAAGTATTCTAATAAGAACATTATCAAACCTAAGTATGAATCCTACCTTTTAAGCTAGGATATTAAACTCCTAAAAGAAGGTATTAGTAGAATGTTTGTCCTGTTATAGAGACACAAGCTTATTCTACACATTGTACTTTTTATTCAGATTAATAAAGAAAGTATAGAGTTGCTCTATGAATTCTAAATATAACTTATTGTTCTAAAGTCAGATCAGGCTTCTGATCTAATATTCTTCAATCCAGTTCTAGGCCCAGGTGGCTGTGTTACCTTCCTTCATAAAGGAGAGGACAAATAGGATACAATTAAGATCTAAGGATAGATTAGTTGAAGTAGTAGCTACATATAGTTCAACTTAGTGCTAGAAGTCCTTAAAGTACTACTCATTAAAGTCTAAAGGGTAGGTTATATACACTTTCTTTCTAAAACAGGTTGTAACTTCTAAAACAATTAGAACAGGTTCTGAAGGGGTTAGAGGTATATAGTTAGTAAAGACCTCTTAGATAGAGGTCTACACATATTAAGCTAGTTCTACTCATAACTACTAATCTAGCAGGATAGTAGGGGTGACAGTTAGTGTAGAAGGGTTCATGTTTACACTACAAAGGAATCAGCACTAAACTAAAAGGGGTAATGAATAGAAGAAGGGTGGCAAAAGTTTAAAAGGGTTTAGAAAGTTTAAAATTTAAAAATGTAAAAGGGTTAGGACAAAGAAAAGAGATTGACACAATAGTGAGTACTAATGCTTAAAATGTAAGAGAGTTGTAAGGTAGTAATGGGTAGTCTTGATCTGATGTTAGTGACAGTGTAGAGGGGACCTGAAGGCTTAGTAAGGGGACTCAGGCTACAACTATCCTACACAACAGAAATATAGAATGTAAGTACTAGAACATAGTTGGAACTTGTAGAACAGGTAGAGAGAGAGAGTAAGACAAGAGTAGAGTATATAGAGTAAGCCTAAGAGTACAGGACTACCTAGAGTAGACAAGATCAAGACTACAGGACTAGTCTAATCTTGTACACCTATATATACTAAACTACACAAGAGTACTTAGGGAGTATGAGCTACTAAGAATGATAAGCCACAAAGAATGAAAGAAAGGAAGGTCAAAGATAAAGGTACAAAGAATGAAGGGATAGACAAAGGGTAAGAGACTAAGGAATGAACAAAGAATGAAGGGGTGGTCAAAGGAATGGAATGATAAAGTAAGGAAGGGTAGTGGTAAGAGTCAGCATACATATAGTTCATAGACAGTGCCTCTGAGGGACAGAAGTCCTGAGTTCCAGTACAGAAGGGTGCAGAACCCTCAGAACTGAAGGTACAAGAGTAGAGAACCGTAACAACAAATAAGTTAGATAGCTAGGAAAGTGAAGATCATCCGACTTCACACTTATGGTGGCTACATAGACCTGTATAAGCCTCTTAAGGTCGAGTTCTGAATTAAACTACGCTTGGATCGCAGTTCGATCGCAGGGGACATGCTATTAGCAAGTCGTTTATCGACATTCTTTATTCTCATCCCTATTTTCAGCAAAATATTTAGTACATGTTTATTAAATTGGTTTTTGCCCGATTCATCCGCTGTTTTTCATCCGGCTACGCGCCAGATCGGGCCTTTAGAATGACTTCTCTTAGTCGCCTCAAGGCCTCTTCGATGTCACCTGGATCAATAACACTGAAAGATGCGCGAACGTACGCGGTCTTGCTGCCAGTAGGCATGAAGGACGTTCCAGGTAGAGCGAGCACACCGTTTTCGTATGCTCTTGAACGGATGATTTCTTCGGAATCATCGTCAATTACCTTAGTAGAATTTGAAGGATCGTTGAGTAATAATTTGAACCTACGTCAGTGGCGAATATTAAAGATAGTGATCAACACAATGAATGGGAAGACGCGAAGCACACGCACCAGAAGAACATGCCAGCTTCTGGTGTACTCCATTCCACAAGGCCATCCAGTTGACGATGCATAGCAGCCTCAAAGACATCGCGTCTTTGGCGATAAAACTCGGACACGTTTTCAGTATGGAGTTTGAATCCGTCATATCCGAAGTGCTTGAAGATAGTAAGGGCAATTACTTGTGTAAGTGTGGACACTTGCAAATTCGCAGACGCGGTCTGCGCAAGCCGCACAAATTGAGACGTAAGTTTCGTGGAGCCTTTCAGATATGAAATGAAACTTACATGCAAATCCATTGCATCTAGAATTGGTTTCGGACCAGAGGCGAAGCCGATGCGGATTCCGGCAGATAAAATCTTCGACACACTATCGAAGCGCAAAACTAGACCAACTTCCCCTTGCTCAAGTTCAAGAGCAAAGTAGGAGGGAGGGCGGGCAGCTCTGCCATAGTACAGATAATAATATGGATCATCTTGTTTGCTTCGGTCAATTCGTTGACAATAAGAACAGAATAAGACGCGACGAACCTTCTAGGATGAGGAAGTTGTATTTTCTGGCAAGGTCAAGTACCTCGAGCCGTCTTTCCCTTGAAGCCGTCATACCGGTTGGGTTGCATCCATACTACAGTCAAAGCCGTGAATGAGAGGAAGGACACAAGAGGTTATAAATCGATTACTGACTGGAACGGTATACAGGAACTTTGGAAGAGGTCTAGCAGCAGGCCAATTCTCGAGTACGGACCTCAGTGAAGAAGATTGGATACCATTTGCATCTGTTTCGATGGCTATGCATAGTGCTAGATTAGATCGGGCAGTACCATGCAACATAGTCGAACTTACGCACGACCTCGCCTCGTAACGTGTCAAGCAATGGGAGAACGCCACTTATGACAAGTATAATGAGCACTATAAAGCCATATTGTCATTATTACTCACGAGTATACGGGTGTTTCTATAAGAACGCAGTCTCCTGGATTGACCAGCGCATGGAATGCCTACGAGAAATTAGCACAATAGTTCATTTCATGATAAACTACAAGGGAGTAAACACACCTTGTATAAGAGATCCTGAGAACCTGAACCTATCGAGATTCTCCAACCTTCATCTCTCATACGACGATGAGAATATGCCTGTAAACCTTCGACCCATTCTACTAGAGGTTCATATCCTGCAGTTGATCCATACTGCAACCCCGCCGATATATCAGAACCAGATATATCTAACTTGGTCTCGGAGCCGTCAGTCGGGTTGCGCACAGTAACTTGAAGGTTAGAGATAGGAAAAGTTTCGGGATTTGGCTTTCCGGCAAGGAGAGAAATGACTCCGGGCTTCTTCTCTAATGGGAACAGACCACGTACTGTAGAAGGTAACCGTCAGCAAAATTGAAGAAACTATAGAAAACATAAAGCTCACGAACTGTTATTCGGCTTGCGGCGCCTCGAATCCGCAGAGATGAAAGGTGCATAGAATTCAGGAGGCAGGATCTTCACTCCGGTTTGCTTGTCAGGCGTCGGGGTTGCGGACAGTTCAACAGGAATGCCATCCGAGTGAGAAATCTGAGAAAGTAAATAGTTCTTGAGTTCGAGAAGGTGAATAAGAACTGTGAGTGCAGCTTACTTTCACTGTGCCATTCAGTGGAAGAGAGGCGCTAGTGGTATTCAAGCTCGTCATCGCTGTCGGTGACAAGACTTATCGATCCACGCGAGCAGGGATCAACCGAACGCGTTCATATCAATCTTTGCTGCAACTTTATAACTTGTTTCTCGGCAAAACTACATGACTCGACCAGGTACGTAGGAAAATATGACGAGTCGGAAATATCGGCATTTTAATTTTTGACCTTATTTTGACCTTGGTATTTAATCGGCTAAATTTGAAGTCGCGTTATACTTAAGTCTTCTCCTTCATCCACGATTCACTTGTGTCTCGTCGCGTCAACAGGTCAACAGTACAGTTACCGCAAGTGCAACTCGAAGGCACGCCCCAGGCTGGCACAATGGTCGAAAGGAGCAACCAAAGTCTTCTTCATTGTCCATGCCCACCGCCGTCTTCTACGCGCTCTGTCATTGACTGTCCAAATGTCGCCTTGAATTTTTTTATCGCCACTAGTACTCATCCCCAATGGTAGGTCCTCTAGAAAATTACAGGACTATGCACAGTAGACAACAGTACTGGACATGCTGGAAGGCTTAGCTTTTTGCTAGTTTCTGACGTTGCTTTCTTTGTCCTGGTGGCGATTCTCGAGTTAATTGCATCGTCCGTGAATTGGTTACAAAAACTAAATGCCCAATACACGTATCGTGATGTACACATAATTGCGGACAACTTTTGGTAAACGTATAATCGTTCTTGTTGGGGGCAGCATCTTATTATCTGCACTCTGAGTCTGTATCGGCTAGCACCGCACAAGATTTACTACTTTGCACTGTACGGATGCGAAACCGTCTGGGCATATTCGGTACACACTCGTACATCGAAGTACAGACTTTCGTACTAACAGTACAAGAAATATCTAGCCTGACGTAGGAACTTGCCTCAGCATACCTTTGCTAAGTATTCAACACAACTGTAAGTCTTAACTTGATCGCCAAATATCTGTCAAAGCCAATCATTGTGTTTGCCTTCTCGGAGCAAGGTCTTGCCTTGTTCATCTAGTGGTGACAGATTGTCTACTCATTCTTGCCCCACAGCTTTCTTGGGTGCTAGAGAGCTCTCAGCAGTCAAGCAGTGGGGTGAAACCAGGGGGACACAAGAACTGATTCTTGACAAGGCTATCTTCGCTGAAGGTCGGAGATTTTGCTCTCACTATTACGCCTCACAACGAAGCAAATACAATAACGAAACTATTCACGGACTGTGCAAATGGACAACTACAACTTTTCTCTCTCTCTCTCCCTCAACGAGTCAAGTTAGTTACTACATTTTTAAATGGCAAGACTATTAACCTACATAATTCGTCTCGCGCTATTCCAACTGCGTGCTTCATGTCTTCTTCTACAAATAAGCGAAGGTATTGTGGCTCTTGTTGGGTAAAGACTTGATCTGAATATGCTTATAACTGGACCGACACACGCATTACCAACACAAAACAGGTCGGCATTGTTCTCTATCTATGCACGCAGTATCTACACGGATATGTTATCCGGCAGGCATTTATGGACACATGCTTCCTGCAGTCCAGGCCCTGATACTATTCAGATTACGACAAAGCACACTCACACCTCTGCGCGAGGAACAAGCCAGCCTTGTACAGCGTAATACCCTCTGAATAATGCAACCAGTACCAATAAATCTACTAATTTCCGGACGTGAGCACAGCACATCCTTGAGAATTCGTAATATTCGTTTTTCTAGTCTTGTACATGTTTTTGTTTTGCATAGACAGGTGTTAGCAATTTGCGAGAGAAGGGATATTGAAGCGACCGACAAGATCAGACAATTTCCATAATGGTTAGGTATCTTTAGTTGATGAGCTCGGTACTTCACTCTTTCTCGTCGAGTTATTATACTAAGTCTGGTCATGACATAACTTCTGCTCAATCCTCTCTTGATTACTATCCATTGTTCATCTTACAAGAGTCTCTGTATGGTGTTCAAGCATGGGGAGCTGGAACACAACCATTCGGATACCCCATCGAGAAAAGCGTATATTGTATGCTTACAGTCTATGAACAGGTAAGGGTTTTGACAATTGTCCTTATGGACTTATGTCATGCAATGGTTCGGACCGACAGCTTCCGATTATCCGATAAGAATACACAAAGCTCTGGTACACGCTTATTACTTTACGCATTATTGAGCTAACGCTGAGCAAAATCAACTTGCGGGATCTTATCAAAGGCATCACTCACCCAAAAGAGGGTAGAAATCGAGTATCTAACTTTGCTCAGTATTTATCTGTTGCCTTCCCATATCAAATAGTACTCCATTTATCATAGTTCAAATATGCACACCTAGGCCTGGGCCACTCCCACTTATCCATGTGTCGAGCTTTGCACATAGATAAAGCAGTACTGTGGCGCACTGACATGGTGCTAAAAACTCCATCGTGACGTTGCAACATCGCAACATCATCGTCATTTACTGTCGATTCATTACAGTCAGGGTACAATCTGCTTTTGAGGCTGTTGGTATGCCAGAGTCTGCAAGTCTGATAGAGGATAAGAATGTGATGAAGCTCATGGAGGAACTCGTGTACTTGGCCCATTCAAATGATGTTGACGACGATGAAGAAATCGGAATACGGTCTTTCTTAAGTAGGTATCCTGAGAAGAGTGGAGCAGACCGTGAAGTAGCAGCCAAGTATCTTGAAAAGAACCAGGAAGTTTCGGAACTTGTTTCAACTTATATTCAAGTCGAAAGAAGTTTGTCAAAAGACAAGAAGAAGAAAGACAAACTTGATCCGCTAAAAGCACTCGATCATAAAAAACGGGAAGCAAGCGGGTATTCCTCCTTCTACGACAAATATAAAAGCGACCAAGTTTTGGCTTCCTACGTTCTTGAATGCAAACGGATCAGGAGACATTTGCACGATAGGTTTGGCATTTCCATCCCTAATGACCATGTAATCGGAAGCAGTGAACTAGAAAGGTACAGCGGTAAAATTAAGAAAACTAGGCCAAGAAGTAGCACATTCTCTTGATCCAAAGGCTGGCCATGTTACCGTTTATGAATGTCTACCTACCGTGGTTGCGCTGCGATGAAAACTCCGGGAACTGTGTATATGACGCAGAGACGAGAAGTTAGATAGACTAAATCTCATCATTTTTTCGACAGGATACGCACTGTGGCGGAGCTGTATGTATGTAATACTCAATTTGCAAATCAAGGAATAGGGTCGCAACACAAGGGTACGCCATTCAAGTGCGAATATCCGTCTGCGACCAGAGTAAAGCACTCATTATTTGTATCAAAATTCTAAAGCCAACGGAACATAAATATTACCCCCACGTCATACCGCGGTAATGGTAATGCACGACCAGTATGACGCCACCCTTCCCCACGCCAAGGCCACAATCGAATGCAATGGAGGCGATTAGTGCTAGTAGCTGCCAACAAATGCGAGAGTGTGGCAGCTCTCAATAATGCGATTACCCGATCTGGAAAGCAACACCTCAAACAGGTAGTCCACCGTCCAGGATAAGACCATGGTTGCATCGTACCTTGAGGGTTACATGGCATGCCACTAGACGAGTTAATAGTTTACTGTACTTTTAGTTAATGTACAATCGCTGTAATATATAAAAGCGAGTGCAACACGTGCATAAGGATTTGCTTCCCACTCTGGTCCTGCTGTGAGAATAGAAGCGACTTCACTCTGCTTCCTCGTGCATGCAGCAATAACTATTATTAGAAGCCCATTGAACAATATGAGCCCACTTTCACATCGCGAGCTTGAACCCAACCACCATGGCATCGCATTTCAACGCTGCCACGGATTTGCCTGACTTGACAGGAAAGGTAGTCTTGATTACTGGCGCAACGTTAGTATTCTATATTCGCACTGCCGTTCTACGACTAATGTTTTGTGACGCTGTAGGTCTGGCCTTGGTTATCCCGTTGCTCAGGAGCTCCTACGCAAGGGAGCAACGGTATATCTAGCTGCAAGGAACGAAAGCAAGGCTATTGCAACTATTTCACGGCTTGAGAGAGAGGGATTAGCGCCAGGCCATGGGAAGCCTTTATGGCATAAACTTGACCTGGAGAATCCGCACGACGTCAAGAACTCAGCTGAGGAGTTTTTATCGAGAGAGTCTAGGCTGGATATATTGAGTACGTGAATTCAACGGTTGGGATTTGGAAGTAAACTATACTTAATCTTTGTTACAATCCTGAAGTCAATTGTGCAGCGATGTGAGCATATGTTCTCTTGAGCCAAGAGGTTATTACTGAACGCACTGCAATTGAACCAAAAGCCTTGGCAAGGAGTATGGAATGGGGCCTATAGGAGTGCAAGATATAGTAACTGTGAAGTAAATGCAGTGGCTGTCCTCCTCAAAAACATATCCACTGATTTCTTTATCAAATAATAGCTACATCTCACCATTCCTCTTCACAAAATCTGTCCTTCCGTTGATGAGGAAGACCGCTCAACAGGTGGACACAGATGTTCGAATCGTGATTGTTGCATCTGATGCGCACAAAGTCATTTCGAACGTGCAGTTCAAGACCAAATCTGACCTCAACGGACCGAGCACCAGTGACAGATATTGGTACCAGTTCGTTCGTTATGCGTATACAAAGGTTCTCGACATTCTCTGGATGAAGGAGCTAGCTCGGCAACTTGCTGTGTCAGAGGATGGAGGAACCAATATCTTATGCTTGGGTACACATCCTGGAGCCGTAGCCAGTGAAGGTGCTTATGCGGGTGTTGCGAGGTTGCCATGGCCACTCTCGGTGCTGGGGCGTGTAATTTTGCGGTGGTTCTTCCGCACGTCAGCTGACGCCGCTGCGACAGTCCTTATTCCAGCAGCAAAGACCGAACTGCGGAGGGAAAAGGAGAAGTACCATGGCCGGTACCTGGTACCAATAGGAAAACTGAGTGGAGTCAGCAAGGCGGCGGATAACGAGGTCCTGGCAAAAGAGCTGCATGCTTTGACTGAAAACATATTATCCGAGGAAGGTCTATAGGCCCACACTTGCTCCGTCTGTATATGCTTTACTTGTATAGTGACCGCCGCAGAATGTTGAGTCAGTAATTAGTTACTATGGTTTGAAACAAAATGTATTTTCCGTTGAATCCGTTCGCGCTTGTCACGTTCTCATAACCGTCACGCTCGCGCGTCTGCGTCGCGTCTTCGAAGTCCAGGACCTTTACACTCACCATGGCATTCGACATACACACACCTCGGCGATCGAAGCGCTATCAGCCCCTTGTGGACACTGCTGGTAGCTCTAACGAGGGGGAGGAACGATGTACCTGGATAGGCTCACCCATTCAATCGCGTGAATCGCAAGTCACTGACCTCCACGAGGAAGATTCATTTGATGAGGACACAGACACGGAAACCGCTTTCTACGAAGCATTTCTCAGGAAGAAGTTCAATAAACAAAAGGTGGTTGAGCAAGAAGAGTTTGCAGTTGGCGATACGGTACTCGTTAGGACACAAGCAAAACTACCGAGTGTGGGTGTCATTGTGGCCATGTGGGAGGTTCGAGCGATGGATCGAAGTGAACAACAGAGGGTATACCAAAAAGTGAAAATACACTGGTTTCTTCGGCCGACAGAACTTCCCAGAGTAAGAGCCAAACGGGACCATCTTGAGGTATGAAACACACAATCATTTCTCTAACGTCGAGGCTGATTCGTATCGCAGAACGAGGTCTACTTCTCGCTTGCAAGCACCGCTATCCTTGTCCCTCATGCGATTATAAAACACTGCACAGTGACTTCCACTGCCCCAAAATCGAGTGCTTCAAAACAAGCGAAGAAGAACAGGACCGCGACGTTACCTCAAGATGAATTCTATTGCAATTCTGCTATTGATGCTCTTAGGGGCTTATACTACGAACTAGACTGGGATGGACACAGAGAAACAGCTTTAGAAGCTGCAGATGACGTCAATGGGTCCTCCTGGATTGTAACTGTGGTGTCAACCACGCGCAAACGAGGTGGAAGGAAGAGCATATATGCTGAAAGTAGTGACGAGGACGCAGATAGTGGAGATGAGTATGAAGCGCCTTCGGCCGAAGAGGAGGGAGAGGAGGACGTTGCGTCAGACGGAAACATGTCGGCAAACGACCAGGTAATTTCTGATGAGGAGGAAGATGATGACCGGATGCTCTGTACTCCCTCAAAGAAACGTAGACGCGCTAGGCAAGTTGCGACTCCGCGCAAGTCTAAGCGAACAAAGCGGACTTTGGCTATGCCAACACCTCATTCTCGTGCAGCTTTGAGAGCACGTGCAAAATCAAAACGAATGGCATTCAAGCCTGCTCCACAGATTGCTTATGACTTCATGAGTTCGGCAGGCGACAATTTACCAGAAGACCCATGGCTAAGGGCAATGCAAGTGCTTCATGTGGGATCTCGGCCGGACGTCTTGCCCTGTCGTGACGCGGAATTCTTGCATATTCTTCGCGCTGTCGAGGGTCTACTCGAAGAAGGAAGTGGAGGTTGTGTCTGTACGTTCCTAGTTTTGGAGTATCACCTAATCAAACCTCCTGACATTAGCATTTTCAGATGTATCTGGTGTTCCGGGCACAGGAAAGACTGCAACTGTGCATAGAATAGTACGAGAGCTGAAACGTATGGCAGAACGCAACGTAAGCACTCGAGCTCTGGTACGTTGCACTGGCTGACTTTTAAGAGCACAGGAAGCAAACCCATTCACGTATGTCGAAATAAATGGACTAAAAATTCCGGAAGCATCTGCGGCATACAGTTTGTTGTGGGAAGCTGTCTCTGGACATGATGCAGCTAACGAAGGCCACCTGAAAATAAGTTCGAAGGAGGCATTGAAGCAGTTAACAAAGTTCTTCGGTGCGGGTGTCCGAGCTGGCCCAGCTGGTCATGCTTGGTATGTGCATTCGTCTCTTCAAAATCTGTGACTCATTAAGCATGGTGTCAATAGTATTGTGTTGATGGATGAACTTGACCAATTGCTGACTACTAAGCAAGAGGTCGTCTATAACTTCTTCAACTGGCCAACGTTAGTTGGATCGAAGCTTATCGTCATTGCAGTAGCAAACACACATGATCTTCCCGAACGTGTGATGACTGGGAGAGTTCGCAGTCGTCTCGGTATGTAATAAGCCTATCCGGTCAGAGGTCTGTACTAATTGCCATCCGGAAGGTATGACACGGATAAACTACCAGCCGTACGACAAGGCACAGCTCATTAGGATAGTGGAAGCCCGACTTCAAGCTGCAAAGGAAGGATTTATCGGCAAGTTCCCCGAGGTCATTACGGCGGACGGCATCAATTTCGCGGCCGCAAAAATAGCGTCCATTAGTGGTGATGCGCGTCGAGTATTAGATATATGCAGGTGTGTATAAAGGTTGTAGGGTCTTATTGTATCGGTATTGACGATGATTACAGACGAGCTGTCGAGTTGGTACGCCCTTCCGGAAAGCCGGCAAAGATAGCAGATGTCAAGGAGGTCATCACGCGTATGCAGAGCAGTCTCACCGCTGCGTATCTGGGTGACTGTAGTTTGCACGAACGAATCATGCTTGCTTCACTGATTAAGTGTATGCTGCGAGATGGAGTCCTTGAGATTAAATGGGACGATGTGCGTCTTTTCCTGTCACTTTACATACTTATCAAGTTCACTAACATTTGTTCCAGGTCCAACGTCAGCATCTTATCTACACACCTGTCCTGGCAGGTGATGGTGACCCCACTCGGAAACCATCTCCGACCGAACTACGTTGCATTCTGGATGGATTGCTTGCTTCTCATGCAGTCCTCATTGAGGATGGGTCAGGTGCTGCAGCTGCACGCCGTGCAGATGGTGATCGTAGGATTATTCTCAACATTGAACAGACCGAGGTACAACGAGTGTTAAGCGAGATGGGTGGACAGATGTGGAAGAATGCCCTGGGACTCTGATGAGATATGGCTCGGCCTGCTAACACTTCCTTTGTTGTCTGGTATTGGATGCCAGATCTCCTTAATACGGCCAAGCAAGGCCAGAAAGCATGCCTGGAGGAGATAAGTCCTTCGTGCTAGCCCTGTCTACCTTACAGCTGCTGGACGATTCGATACTGCCTCAAGTGTTATTTACTGTTCAAGAGTTTTCATTAAATATGTATCGATAGACACTCTATCATAGATGCCTTTAGCGTGTAATCGCAATAACACAGTTCCGTGGAACATTAACGGAGGTCATGTGCAATAGAGCAAAGAAATGCGGACTGTCAAAGGGCGGTCTGATAAAATGGGTTTGAATAAGGTTTGATCTGCACGTGACCAGTATTCGGGCGTGGACTAGGGACTGGCGTGGTATCCATCCGTGGTTTATTTGATCCACACCACGGATAAGGTGAACCACGGATGGAATTCCCACGGTTACCAGATGAACCGTGGTTACCGTGCCACGGTTCAATTCCCGTATATAACATTTAGATTTTTTATGCTATTTTGTACTTATATCACACAATTATGCAAAATTAATTATATACAAGCTAAGATAAAATATTACATGGGTATTTAAATGAAAATTATACAAGAAATTAATTTTTTTTGTTTTCCATAAATATGAAAAAAGAGAAATAAATCAAATTTCAATCCATTCCCGTTCTCTTAGCCTCAATAATATTAACTGCATCCTTGTAATTCCTGAATAAAGGTGTTCCATCCTAAGATCCAACTGCCATTTGTGCTCTGAATGTATCTGATGAGGTGTTATGTTGTATGAAATTGATTTGACAACAACCAACAGAAAACACTTGCTCTGTATTAACAGATGTTGCTTAGTAATACAAAATGTGTTAAAAACTGTTATCTTCAGTAGAGAATATTAAAAAATACCTGGAGCTGAGCAAAAATCCAGACCCATCCTAGCTAAACTAGGGTGCTTTAGCTCACAATTGGCCCAGTATTAAATAATACTACTAGCAGCTTGGATTGCTGAATCTGGAATCAGTATTGGGACAAAGAAAAGAGATCAACACAACAGTGAGTACTAATGCTCAAAACATAGGAGAGTTATAGAGTGGTAATAGGTAGTCTTGATCTAATGTTAGTGACAGTGTAGAAGGAACCTAAAGGCTCAGTAAGGGGACCCAGGCTACAACTATCCTACACAACAGAAATACAGAATGTAAACACTAGAACATAGTCAGAACTTGTAGAACAGACAGAGAGAGAGGGTGAGACAAGAGTAGAGTATATAGAGTGAGCCTAAGAGTACAGGACTACCTAGAGTAGACAAGATTAAGACTACAGGACCAGTCTAATCTTATATACTTATATATACTAAACTATACAAGAGTACTCAGAGAGTATGAGCCACTAAGAATGATAAGCTACAAAGAATGAAAGAAAGGAATGTCAAAGATAAAGGTACAAAGAATAAAGGGATGGACAAAGGGTAAGAGACTATAGAATGAACAAAGAATGAAGGGGTGGTCAAAGGAATGGAATAATGAAGTAAGGAAGGGTAGTAGTAAGAGTCAGTATACATATAGTTTATAGACAGTACTCTCAAAGGACAGAAGTCCTGAGTTCTGGTACAGAAGGGTGCAGAACCCTTGGAACTGAAGGTATGAGAGTAGAGAATTGTAACAATGCTGACAATTCCAAGCAACTTCATCTGAACTGGCTTTACTAAATACTCAACCAATTGTAAGTTTTTCACATTAATTATATTAACAATACTAATATTCTTTATTATAGAATTGCTCTTGTTATATGCCCAGCTGTCTATCAGCACCTATTAGATTAGCAGATAGTATTCATGTTTATCTGGATGAACCCCTTTTACATTTTTAAATTTTAAACTTTCTAAACCCTTTTAAACTTTTACCACCCCTCTTCTATTCATTACCCCTTTTAGTTTAGTACTGATTCCTTTATAGTGTAAACATGGACCCTCCTATACTAACTGCTACCCCTACTGTCCTACCAGATCAGCAGTTACAAGTAGAACTAGCTTAATATGTGTAGACCTCTATTTAAGAGGCCTTTACTAACTACATACTCTTAGCCTCTTTAGAACCTGTTCTAATTGTTCTAGAAGTTACAACCTGTTTCAGAAAGAAAGTGTATGTAGCCTGCCCTTCAGACTTTAATGGGTAGCACTTTAAGGACTTCTAGTACTAAGTCAAACTATACATAACTACTACTTTAACTAATCTATCCTTAGATCTTAATTGTATCCTATTTATCCTCTCCTTTATAAAGGAAGGCAACACAGTTACCTGGGCCTAGAACTGGATCAAAGGTTATTAGATTGGAAGCCTGATCTGACTTTAGAACAATAAGTTGTATTCAGAATTCATAGGGTAGCTTTATACTTCCTTCATTAATCTAAATAAGAAGTATAATATGTAGAACAAGCTTGTGTCTCTGTAACAGGGTAAACATTCTACTAATGCCTTCTTTCAGGAGTTCAATATTCTGGCCTAGAAGGCAGGATTTATACTCAGGTTTGATAATGTCCTTATTAGAATACTTGAAAAAGCTCTTCACCCAGAACTGGTTAATAAGATTCTCAGAATAATGTTAGAACTAGTTACTTACACTGAGTAGAAGATACACACTATTTCCTTCAACTAAGCTGTAGCTTAGATGTGTCAAGTCTGTACAGAATGCTTACACATGTGTTTAGCTCTAACAGTTCTGAGCCCTCAGATTAATCTGCCTATAATTTACAATCAATCTGTTCTAATAGACATTAGAGAAGCCTAAAAGTAAGAAGTATACTTTACTTATAGAAAGTTAGAGCACTAAATTAAGGACTGTCTATAGAAGTGACAGTACATCTGTCAGGTCATTAGAGTGATAATGAGTGACAAGTAGGATTTGTAGTAAGAAGCCTTTTCCACAAATCCAGAAGTTATCTTAGAACTCTTAGACCCTGACTATGTACCCTAGGATTTTGTAGAGACTTAACAGTAAATGTAGTACTGAAGGGCTATGACTCAGATTTTTTAATAGCTACTTTTGATTCAATAGACACTATAGGATTAGAAGTAAATAAAGTAGAAAAAGCAGAAAAAGTAGAAAAAATAAATCAACAAAATTATTTATTAGAAAGAAAAAAGTTGAAAACAAAAGTAGATAGTTCTCCTATTTCTCCTAATTCTTTTGATTCTTCTCTTTACACTTCATCCAAGTTTAAATCTACACAATCTGACCTACTACTTCTGTGTTCTAAGATCTTAGAATGTTTAGAACACTACCTAGCCCTGTGTTAGTAACAGTGTAGAGGGGACCTGAAGGCTTAGTAAGGGGACCTAGGCTACAACTATCCTACACAACAGAAATACAGAACACAAGTACTAGAATGTAGTCAGAACTTGCAGAACAGGTAGAGAGAGAGAGTGAGACAAGAGTAGAGTATATAGAGTAAGTCTAAGAGTACAGGACTATCTAGAGTAGACAAGATTAAGACTACAAGACTAGTCTAATCTTGTATACTTATATATACTAAACTACACAAGAGCACTCAGAGAGTATGAGCCACTAAGAATGATAAGCTACAAAGAATGAAAGAAAGGAATGTCAAAGATAAAGGTACAAAGAATGAAGGGATAGACAAAGGGTAAGAGACTATAGAATGAACAGAGAATGAAGGAGTGGTCAAAGGAATGGAATAATGAAGTAAGGAAGGGTAGTAGTAAGAGTCAGTATGTATATAGTCTATAGACAGTGTCTCTGAGGGACAGAAGTCCTAAGTTCTAGTACAGAAGGGTGTAGAACCCTTAGAACTGAAGGTAAGAGAGTAGAGGATCATAACACCCTGTTTACTACTTAGTAGTTTGTCTATAGTATTATATAGGGATAGTCTCAGCTGAGTTCACAGCTAAGAACATAGGTCTGTCCTTGTTAAAAGAGAGAGGTTAATAAGGAAATGTTAGCACATATACTTACCCTCTTAGACAATAAGACTGTATAAGCTGTATGTTCCCTTTAAAACAAGTAGTAGTTCATCTAAGAACATTCTAGACACTAGCTCCAGGTCCCTGTCCTCTTAGCTCCCTTCTTAGGATCCTCTCAGATCTGAACAATAGTTCTAGTAGACAGTAGATACACTAGTTTGTACATTAATAAGGCCTTTATATAGGAACACTACCTTCCTACTTAATGTGTTCTACTTCCAATCCTAGTATACAATACAGACAGAACCCTAAACTAGAATAATTGAATCACTAAGTTTGTCTAACTATGGATGACCATTTAGGATTATAAGGAAAGTATTGAGTTTAGAGTTACCAACCTTAGAAAGACAGACATTTTTATCAGATTTAAATGACTTAAGGCTCACAACCCTACTATTAACTAGTTAGAGTAGACACTCACATTCAATTAGTGTCCTGAGTCTTACAGTTACCTTACACTACTGTTCTGAGTAGATACAAACACTTTCAATGTTACTAATAGTTCTAATAAAGGTGACTAGTTGTTCTTCTTCAACTAGGATAGATATGTAGATACATATTCTAGTCAAGGTAGAACAGAGTCAATCTGAAGGATGTCTAAGACAGAACCAGTCTAGAACCCTCTTAGAACAGCTCTACTCTAGAATGTACATAGACTTAGCCTGCTAGATTTTGTCTGAGAGTTCCCTAAAGTCTTTAGTAAAGAGGAATTTGACTAGCTTCCCAAATACTGTTTCTAGGACTATACAATTGAATTGACTAAGAGTTTCCAACCTAAGGATTGTAAGGTCTACCTACTCAACAGAGACAAGTAGGAGGTACTTAATGAGTTCCTTCAGGAAAATCTTCAGAATAGTTAGATCTGACCCTTAAAGTCTCTTATAGTCTCCCCTTTCTTCTTCATCAAAAAGAAAGATAGGAAGCTCTACCTAGTCCAGAATTATTGTTGTCTTAATAAGGGTACTGTTAAAAACAAGTACCTACTCCCTCTGATTCAAGAGCTCATTAATAAGACACATACATTTAGAGTTTTCACTAAGTTGAATGTTTGATAAAGATACAATAATATTTGGATCTGAGACAGAGATGAGTAGAAGGCTGTGTTCTAAACTAATCACAGATTGTACAAACCAACTATAATGTTCTTTAGACTAACTAACTCACTTATAACATTCTAGTCATTCATGAATCACATTCTTACAGATCTGATTGACTCAGAGTATGTTAGTATGTATCTGGATAACATTCTGATCTTTACTCAGACAGTTGAGCACTATTACTGACTGATCTGAGCAGTTCTATAACAGTTCTAAGATAATAAACTATTCCTCTAAGAAGTAAAGTACTCTTTTACACAAGAGTCAGTAGATTATCTGAGCTTTGTAATTAGTAGAGGAGAGGTCTGTATGAATCCAGTAAAGGTAACTGTAGTTTGGAACTAGCTACAACCTCAGAACCTAAAACAGGTCCAAGCATTCCTTAGGTTTGTAAACTACTACTAATACTTTATTCAAGACTTTAGTACTATTGAGTCTCTAAAGTAGGTTATTACTAGTAAGTCTGTATTAGTAGTTCTGACAGTTGTAAACAAGTTCTGAGTCAAAGCTAACTCTTCTAACTTTACAAATAGAGTAGTACTGTTCTAGTTCATTAACAGAAAGTAGTGTCTAATAGTGTTCCAATTAGAATCCCTCTCTGTAACAGAACAGAACTACTCTATCTATAATAAGGAACTCTTTGTAATTGTCTATTCCCTAGAGGAGTAGTATTAATATCTCCTTAATACTATATAGAAGTTTGAGATTTAGAGTAATTACCTTAATCTCTAGTACTTCCAGGCACCTCAGAAGCTTAACTACTACTAAGCCTGCTAGATGTTAAAACTGTAAGACTATAACTTTGTACTAACTTACAAACCCAGAATACAAATAATGAAAACTGATTTACTCTTAAGACAAGTAGGTTATAAAAGGGGGGGAGAATAATAACAAAAATCTTGTTCTCCTAGACAATTCCTGTTTTGTGTCTAAGACAATTTAAGAGATCTGACTCAAATCTAAGAATGTTGACTTTGTCACCTACATACAGTAAGCTCTAAGACACACATAAGACTAGGTTGTAGTAAAGCAACTAGAGAAGTAGGCTAGGGATTAGGAGGAGGATGAGGATAGATAGGTTTACTAAGAAGACTGACTGTATGTTCTGAAGAATCAGAAGCTGTAGAAGGACATTGTCTAAGCTTATTATAACAATCTGACTGTAGAACATCTAGGCTGACACAAAACACAGGAACTCATTACTCAGAACTACTAGTAGCCTAGAATGTAGAGGGAAATCCTAAAGTACATAACTAGTTACAATATGTACTAACAGACTAAGGCCTACCAGACAAGGGTTCAGACTCCTCTACATTTGTATTAAATCCTGGATCACTCTTAAGAAGAAGTCTTAGTAGACCTGATTAGTAAGCTACCTGAGTCTCAGGGTTACAATACTATCTGTGTAATTGTTGACTGATTCTTTAAGCAAGTCTACACAGTTCCAACTCAAACAGAACTTACTTCTGAAGGTATAGTGTGTATCTATTAGGATTATGTCTTCTAGTTACACAGACTCTCTTAGAAGCTCATTCACAATTGTAGACTGTAATTCAAGTTGAAATTCATACAGGACTTGTATACACTTCTTAGAATTCAAGGGAACCCTTCTACTACATATTACTTGTAAACTAACAGTCAAACTGAGTAAGTCAATCAGAAGATTGAGCTTTACCTCTAGATGTTCATTAATCATTAGTAATCAGATTAGTCTGAATAGCTAGCTCTGACAGAATTCATACACAATAACTAGTAACACTCTACAATAGGATAGTCCTTGTTCTTCCTTAATTATGAGAGACATTTATACTAGAGGACAGTTCTGAACTAGAACAGTAGTTCTGAATCTGTAACAGACTTTGTAGAACAGATGTACAGAACCAGGGAGGACACACAAGCTCTTTTAGAAAAGGTAGTACAAGTCATAAAGTAGAACTATAATTAGAAGAGGTCTGTAGCTAAGGATTACTAGTCTAGTAACAAAGTTATACTAGAAGCTACTAACCTAACCACAGATTGCCTAATAAAGAAGTTGGACAACAAGTGCTTCAGACCCTTTGTTATTGAAAAGAAGGTTAGTACCTCTACTTACAAACTCTAACTTCTAGCAACATAGAAGTGTATACACTCAGTGTTTAACAAGGTTCTACTGTCTCAGTACTACAATCTAGGTTTTCCTTTATAACAAAGACTCCTACTACCTCTACCAGAACTCATTAGTTCTGAACTAGAATACAAAGTAGAGTATGTAGCAGATGCTAAGCTAGTGTGTAGAAAACTCAAGTTCCTTATCTACTAGAAGGGATACCTAGTTGAGGAATGTACTTAGGAACCTGCTAAGAACCTTACCTATACTCCTAAAGCAATCTGAGATTTCTATCAGCTTCATCCTGGTACTCTGTACAAACTCAGCCTCACAGATTTCCAAGCCCTACTGTTCTGACCTATGCCTAAGCTACTAACTGAGCCCTATGTTCACTAATCAGGACAATTAGTTTTAGAGGAAGGGTAATGTTACAATTCTCTACTCTTATACCTTCAGTTCTAAGGGTTCTACACCCTTCTGTACTGGAACTCAGGACTTCTGTCTCTCAGGGGTACTGTCTATAGACTATATACATGCTAACTCTTACTACTACCCTTCCTTACTTTATTATTCCATTCCTTTGACCACCCCTTCATTCTTTGTTCATTCTATAGTCTCTTACCCTTTGTCCATCCCTTCATTCTTTGTACCTTTATCTTTGACATTCCTTTCTTTCATTCTTTATAGCTTATCATTCTTAGTGGCTCATACTCCCTGAGTGCTCTTGTGTAGTTTAGTATATATAGGTGTACAAGATCAGACTGGTCCTGTAGTCTTGATCTCATCTACTCTAGGTAGTCCTGTACTCTTAGGCTCACTCTATATACTCTACTCTTGTCTCACCCTCTCTCTCTGCCTGTTCTGCAAGTTCTGACTACATTCCAGTACTTGTGTTCTGTATTTCTGTTGTGTAGGATAGTTGTAGCCTGGGTCCCCTCACTGAGCCTTCAGGTTCCTTCTACACTGTTACTGACAAGCATCACTCATCCCAGTAACAGACAGTGTTTTCTGAATCCTTTGTCTAGGTCTCAATAGCTGTACTGTAGGAGCTTCTACTACTAGCCCTATACAAAGAGCTTCTTATGATGGCTGTGATCAGAACGTGAGAGAAGAAGCATCCAGAGTAACTGGCACTCTGGTCATGTTGTAAATGTAATACTTCTCATAGGGAAAATTTGAAAGGAGAGGAGGCTGATCCTCAGACATAGGATAATTATGATGTAGGGTTTGTGTTTCTTTAAGATTTTAGCAAGACAGACAGGCAAATGAGTGAGTAACTATGTTTTGTTATGCTACTGTGACATGCTACACTGGAAACCACGCAAACCACGGAAACCGTGGGAATTTAACCACTGGTATGGATACTGTGGGAAAGTTCATCCGTAGTATGGATACCGTGGATCCCCCTATCCACGCCAGTCCCTAGCGTGGACAGAGGAAAGGAAACCATCGTCCACACATCGACTCGGTGTATTTCCTGCCTATCGTCAGACTTCTTCGTTCCAGTGAGTACTAGTTCGTGCTATATACATGCGTTTGGAATACGGATATAGCTGGCAGACGATGGAATTGTGGTGTTTTGAGATGGATGGTCATCGAGTGGTCTGGATGGACGAGGATCGCTAATGGCTCTTTTGTTTCTACAGGGAGATTCGTGCGCCCATTATACGCAGTGAGTATATCTAATGGCCATTTTTGTTTGTAATAATGACCTTGCCTCCTAGCACGCCAAAACTTGAGTCAATATGATCATTTCAAAAGAGAACAGAAAAAAGATCTATGAAAATCTCTTCCGAGGTGCGACTATGCGTTTCGACTTTACTCCTGTCCTCTTGCTCACTTCTCTTTGTAGAGGGTGTAATGGTTGCGAAGAAGGATTACAATGCACCGAAGCATGAAGACCTTGACGTACCCAACCTTGAGGTTATCAAGGCCATGCAATCGTTGACCTCGAAGGGCTACGTAAATACCCAGTTTTCGTGGCAGTGGTATTATTACGTTGCCACTCCCGAGGGCGTTGAATATCTCCGTGAATGGCTCCACCTACCACAGGAAATCGTTCCATCGACCTACAAGAAACAAGCTCGCCCGCCGCGTCCAGCTCAGGTTCGAAATGAAGGTGCTTACCGTGCTCCTCGAGGTGACCGCGACGATTACCGTCGTCGTGACAAGCCGGAGGGTGCTCCGGGCGAATTCCGTCCCCAGTTTGCTGGCGTTGGTCGTGGTGCACCGAGAGAGTGAGCGTGTGGATAGTAATTTGGGTTTGTCGCCGAGAAAACGGCCGCACGACCAGAGCCGCCATACGGGTTACGAGCAATGTGCCAATGTATCACTGATTGCGATGCTATGTCCTTCCTCTCATGAGTATCCTTATGTCTGACATTCTTGAAACTTGTCAGTTCCTTGCACTGCATTTTGCAAGTATCCAACAGGCACACCGTAGTTGAAGCTATGCCTTGTAACAAGCAGTAAAATCGACTTTGCACAGTTTATCCTGCCAGTTATATCCGAAGGAGTCTTTATCTAGCTGCAACCAATGAACATGTGATCTAAAGCAAGCCGAAAGAAGCATGCACAGCCTACTTATCTTGCTTCCCTTCTGTTTCTGTTTCTGTCTTGCCTCTCAACTTCTTCTGCCGTCAATATCACCTAACTCGCACTAGCTGGGCTTGTCAATTCCATTTTCACCTGGGCGCGCGTCATGTACTCGCTTCGTCGCTCAAATGGGACGCGAAAAACTGTTTAAAGAGCGGGATGCCTAAGACGATCTCGGTCAACCCTAGAGCAACACTTGAAGCCGCTAAAACACGCTGTCTTGACATGTTGTAGTAATTGCTGCATCCGGTGGTGATCACAACGTGTACTACGTGAGGGTTCTGTGCATGCTATATTAATATTAACCTGTGCGGAAGGAGCTTGACGGCCTCGCTTATGTCCCTAGCCCCTCACCGCTTACTTTCCGCTCCTGCTGCGACTCAGCCGTTTGACTGCTGCCTTTCACCCTTGTCAGAGTATTCTAGGTGTCTAAAGTATGCCCACCTGTGGAGTCTGTCCTGGACGTTCATTCAGTACTCCTCAAGCACTTCATCAACACAAGATCGACTCAAAGGGCCATCACTACTGTCATTCTTGTGCAAGAGATTTTTCCAACCGCAACGAGCTGTTTGACGTGAGTACCAGCTTGTCGGAGTTTGTATCAGTGCAGCATCCTTGCTGAAGCGATTGCTCTTCAGCATGCTACTGCTGTTCATTCGACAGCGTGTCGAGAATGCAGGCGGATGTTCAACTCTGTAGAAGACCTGAACAGACATCTTCTTGACTCGCCGAAGCATCCGAAGTGTCGAGCGTGTAGAATGGGATTTCGGGATCGTATGAGCCATGCATCAGTGAGTCTTTGCTTCTGATGGGCGGGCGATTCTTTATCTCCATTCTCTATGTTACATAGCACAAAGAAGAAATTCACGGAACTCAGGGCCTCCCTAACAGGAAATCGAAGAAGGCTCAGAATTGCAGGCGATTTTCACCCACTGTTAGTTTCTGAGATTCGATTTTACTAGTCCTTATTATTAATTAAAACGTATCTGACAAATTCTTTGTAAGACTACTATAAATGAGTCTTCGGTCCCTTCTCCAACATTGAGAGCACATTCTCCGTCTTTGTCCGTGCTGACAGGTATCAGTGACAGGGAAGACCTGCAGAATATGACCCCCTTCCAGCTTACCATGTATGAAGTGTCGGACGGGGCGACCTCTAGACAAGACTTCGATGATTCTCTGCATGCTGAATCTCCTTACCTATCTGCTTTGACATCAGAGAGAAATGTCAAATTCGGTCTGGAGAATGTGAGTAGCCAGAAGCAAGCTTACTGGCCGCCCTTGAATAATTCATTTGTAGCATTCTGAATGCATCGACCAGAACATTACGACTTCGCCACGTCAGAAATCCAAGAATGTCTTGCACGGTACTTCTAATTGTCGCGATGTACCCGCTGAGATGACCCAGATCTACGAATCTCATCGAAGCTCACAAGACAGGCTATCCTCATCTGCGGACGCGGAGGTCGCCTCGTCTTCGTCACTGTGGGAGGCATGTGCCCCGCTTCCCTCGGATTCCGCCTCAGATAAATCTAGTGAGAAGGGAGCTGGACGCCGTTGGTATGCGAGTGAATGGTCTCGCGCCCGATCCTTCTCTCCGCGCATCCATCAGGAATTAGCAGACGCTGACCTCGACGAAAGCCACTCAAATTTCAAGTCACGGCACCGATCAACGTCACCAGCTTCGAGGCACTACGAAGGAGACCTACCGGAGGTTATGCGGCATTTCCCCAGTCCTCAGCACTCTGAGGCAATCAGACCTACATCACCAGCATGTCCCGCAAACCTATCTCGCATCATGACCACGCGCACCTTCTCGCAGCTTTCGAGACTTCCAACTATCTCAGACGAGTCTGAGCTCGAACAAGAACAAGATGATGGGTACGATTCAGAATCGCTGGTGCCTCTCATCGCAGACACTCCGCCTGAGGCTCAACAGCATAAACGTGCCATGGGACGGCGAAGGCGCCGACTAAGCCTGTCGCCAACATTACCCCCAATACCAGAGACCACCCAAAGCCGCCCGTTGAACGCTATTTCGCCTACTGACTTCGGTGACTCGGAGTCCGATAGTTCCCATGGTATATTTGAGCATCTCGCGGAAGATTTCTTGTACGACAGTCTATCTGAAAACGAGCATTGCCAAACTCCGATGACGTATCTTACTGCGGACGAGCTTGAGTTGGATCTTGAAGGAAAGACCAGCCGGGCCGATGACGAAAGTGACTTTACAAGGCAACTTACTGAGCTCCCATGTAAGCAATTTCTTTAAGCAGCTTCTGTTTCTTGATTAATGTTGCCAACATAACATGTTTAGCTCCGCCAACTCTTCTTGCTGAAGATTTGACAAAGGTTGCGATGGAACTGTGCTCACCTTCTACACCGGGTAGTGACTTCGATCCACTGGCAGACCCCTTCGAGCTTCATCCGTCTGCGAATAACTCGCCTATGAGTGTTACTTTCCCGAGGCGCTCTCGTGCATGGTCAGTAGGCGTACCGGAGAAAACGGACACAAGATTCTTGGCACCAATACCGCCGATACGACAAACGGTTCCGAGGAAAGAAGAAAAAGAGAATAAGGAACCTGACAGTGTAGTTGCGAGCCAATCAAAAGCCGGTGAAGAGGAATTAGACCCAGTAGCAATAGCGGCCGATGAGCCGCTAGCAACGGTCATCGAGGAAGACCTGTTCTCGGAGCCGGATGAAATCCTGGAGCCGATTCATCAGGTCAGCAAGCCAGTTGGGCAGTCGCTCGACGAAGCAGAGGCCCGATTTGCCGAGGAAGGACACCCGCTTCGGAGCTTTATAACATTGGACACGCTACCCGGAGACGCGCATGTCCGAGAACAACCTAATGACGGTATACCTTTGTCTTCGCCACGAGCTTCGGATCAGCGCGAGGTCGGATCAGCGGGAACACCGAATCCTGCTGGTCTTCATAGTAACCCTGGACGGAAACCCCTGCTGTACTGCCGGATATGTCAGGTTGATCCATGTTGCGACACGACTGCGACGTTCTGCGGGCATGTCTTCTGTTATGAGTAAGTTCCTGCATTCACATTGTGCAGTTTATCTTCTAATATAACCGTTGCGGTCGATCAACCCTATCCAGATGCATCTCACGTGAAGTCATACAGACGTCAAAATGCCCTGTGTGCAAGACTCCGACACTTCTTTATTGCTTATTCAAGCTGGACTTGAGTTCCTAATCATCAATGCCAATCAACATTCCATGACAGCTGCGTAGTACATACAGCACTCCCAGAATTCTGGACTATCGTTGTATTATCCATTAAATGGTCATCTTTTGGCCAATCTCCGCCCTTCTTCTAGCTTCATAGTCATGTCACATGTAATGCTAAATGCAATGTTTCTGATTTAATATCTGATTAACATACTTTGAACATGCTATGATGCGCATACGTAGAGAGACCGTGCCGAAAGCGGGAAGTACGATGGGACAAAATAACAATACACAGTGAATACATAAGGCAGAAACAACCAAAATCGCAGAAAAGAGAAGACAATAAGAAGTCCGAGAGCTTTGACCGATCAACGGAGTCTGCTTCGAGTCCAATAATAGTTTCCTTTGCGACGGGGAATATGGATAGTAAGCATGCCGTCGGCGGAGAACTGAGCGCGCGTCTGCAGCACGTTCGCGTCGCGTGAAGAGAACACGACAAGCCACTCGTGATGACCTGATATAATCGGGAAAATTTTCGGGAAAAGGTGCATGCACATATGGTGGGTTACATGTTTAGCGCATTTCAAATGTTTTTGTCAGAAATGAGTCAGAACAGAAGGTGGAGTATAGATAAAGGGACAAGAACACACAATTGCTCTCCGCATGCCATAGATCCGCGACGACGGCTAGCCTGTCCTCCTTGCGTGTGGATACAGTGACCATTTCCGGAGCGAAACCCGGTAAGTGTGCGCTCAAAACGTGTTCGTCCTCCGTCGAGCAGACGAGACGTAGTACAGGTCGACTACCGGGGGGAGGCGATCGCCTATCGGGTTCAAGTACTGCAGCGATCGTAGCATCTTGTGCTGCTGCTAGCGGCCGGAAGTCATATGATGAACTAGGCATAGCTGAGAACGACAGAATTTGAGGGGTGACTGGCGACTTGGCAATTGGTGAGTATACCCCAGATTGCAGAGGAAGCATCTTCGGTTGCGTTGTGGGAGCGCGGAAAGAGAGCTGAGGAGCCTTTGGCATGGTATGGATCGTCTTCCGTTGAGGGACCCCGGACAAATCAGGAGGGACGCCTTGTATAGCAGTATAATCCTGTGTCGGAGAAAAACGCGGTGATTCACACAAAGATTTGCTGATAGTGGTTGTTTGTGGTCGAGGTAAAGGCTCGCCGGTACAGAGGTGAGGTTGGTAGCCTCCTACGGAGATGCAGCAACATGAGGATTGAGCGAGACATGTGGAGCAATGAGTAACACTCACCATGAGCTTGAATGCATACCGAAAATTCACCTTTACGTCTAATGAAAGGAGCCGATGTGACTCTTGCACGCCGAGATATCTCAAAATCTTGTCCAGAAGCCGCCACAGAAGAGAATGCAGGGCAGGAAGGGAGGCTAGCAAGCTTTGAAGTAAAGGAAGCACTTGCTCGCCTTGTTGTCGATCCGCTTGTGGGCTTCGAAGACAGAAGTAGTCCAAGTGACGAAGCTCTATTGCGCTGCAAAGTCAACATTCCGGACGTCCTCGGAGTGTATTTGCTACAAATTGTAGATTATGTCTCGTGTGGATGGAGGTAGATGAGAACCAGCTCTATAGTGTCAGCCTATGTATTGACGCTTTGAGACTTGGTTCATGGCACAAAAAAACCTAGTTCCGGTCCGGTCTGTAACCGTCTGCATCAGGAAATGTGATAAGCTGATTGTTATCCGAGAGATAATATAGATCCGCAGTGTACAGAATCGTCGATTTGAGGTGTGATAACAGGATGAGAACTTGTTCATAGTCCCGAAGTCCATACTCGCAAAGCTATGTCTGATCGATCAGCATCTCCAAAAAAAAAAGGGTTTTCTCCCGAGTTGATCATTTAATGCAAGTCGATAAATCACTTGCCTATTCATCAAGAACCGATATCACAACTTCTAAAGTGCTAGTAAATAAGTAGCAACTAGTAATTGGTGAGTAGTCCGGGACTCGGACCTCGGTGGTACAAAATTCAAATTTACAAATGTGCATGCGTTGCTTACGTATCTGTCCGAATATGGCAAGCAGTTACATTCGTCAGTCGCCACCAGAATTATAGTCACCTTTTTAGGGACTTTACTGGGAATTTACCTATTTACCTACCTAGCTACCTACCTTCCGAAGAAATCTGTTGTCGTTATGACAAGTTTTACCAACAGATCTCGGAAAATCAGTGCATTTGTCACAAAATCCGTACATTTCACACCAAACTCGGGTGATTAGCGCCATTCGGTAATTTGATGGCACCAACAGGCGCGAGACTGACGAAGATGCAACTAACGAGGAGCTTTTACTAAGCCATCGGCGCCTTTGCCACAATCTCATTAATAATAACAACGCACTGCTAGAACGTTCCCAGCGTCATTGTCTTTGACTAAAATAATCTATAAAGTCATGATGCAATAGCAAGTTCCCAACGTTACTCACACTCGTCGATTATCTTAACGATGGCTGAGCAAAAGGCACTGTTCCTCGAAGCTGCACAGGGCGAATTTCGTGTTAGGCAAACGTCGATTCCGAAACCTGGCCCTGGAGAGCTCCTTGTAAAGATTCATGCGACCGCTTTGAATCCTGTCGACTGGAAAATTCAGGCAGGTTATCCCTTGATCACCGAATACCCTGCTATTCTTGGATCGGATTCTGCTGGTACTGTTGAGGCAGTTGGCGAAGGAGTGCAGAATTTTGCGAAAGGAGACCGAGTGTAAGGATCTCTTAAGCCTATAACGATGGCCCTAACGTTTTTGCACCTTAGTGTCCATCAAGGCTACTTCACCAATGACAAGGCAACGTTTCAGCAGTATACGACAGTGCCAGCTGAGATAACAGCGAAGGTTAGGAATTGAATCGTCTTCACAGTATCTCGCGTTCTAACATCGGTTATCATACAGCTGCCTTCCAATATCTCTTTTGATGAGGCCGCCTCAGTCCCGCTCGGCCTCGCAACTGCCGCAGTAGGACTTTACGGTGACAGACCAACCGGTGTCCAGAAGTATAAGCCTGCGTGGGAGGACGGTGGTGAAGGTTTATATCGTGGAAAACCGATTGTCGTTTTCGGAGGATCGACATCCGTCGGGCAGTACGGTAAGAACTGCCGTTATAAATATGCTCTGATGGACAGAAGTATTGACTCTATTACAAAATAGTTATTCAACTGGCTAGGCTCTCTGGGTTTTCACTTATCATTACAACTGCTTCATTGCACAATGCCGACCACCTGAAATCGATTGGTGCGACACATATCATCGACCGTAAGGCGGATGTGCCAGCCAAAGCCAAGGAGATTCTTAGCAGCACGCCAATAGAACTCATTTACGATGCAGTTTCGGAAGAGGATACCCAGAATCAGGCGTGGAACCTGCTTTCGACCGGCGGAACACTCGTAATCATCCTTGCGTCAAAGGTCGACAAAGGGAAGTATAAGGACAAGACACTTATCGATACCATCATCGGCAATGTGCACACTCCAGCCGCTCGACAACTCGGTATAAGCCTCTATAGCAAGCTGACACGCTTACTTGAGGACGGGACTATCAAGGTTTGTGAATTCCACCATCCATGGCCGCTCACATTACTGATGGAATGCTATGGTAGCCAAATCGCGTCGAGGTACTTCCGAATGGTCTAGCCAGAATTGTGGATGGTCTTGAACAGATGAAGGCAAACAAGGTTAGCGGAAAGAAGCTTATTGCTCGTCCGCTAGAGACCGCTTAGGTGAGAATCAGATGAGATGAGTGTATAAGAAAGATGAAGAAGATAGTCATTGCGCCAGGTTTGATGCTGGGAATAACAGTATATGTGTATCTTATTGTATTTTAACAATGTGTCAAATCCAACGGGATTCGCTAAGCAAACTTTATGTATAAAGCAAGGCAACGCCTTTTTTTTATTTCTGAATCTGGATTATATAGAGAAGAAAAGAAGAGACCCACACGTACAAATGCCATAATTATAATTTACAGTTGGGCCAATTCGTGATATTCCCATACGTATATTCCCATACGTTTTACTTCTCAGCGTACCTAAACAGGATCCTCCAGTATGACACCTGCAGGATGTAACCGATGGCATCTTTCAAGTTCCCAAGCCAAGGCCAAGATCGTGTTGCTTACATATCTGTCCGAATATGGAAAATATTTCCGTTCGTCAATCGCTACCAGAATTGGTAAAGCACTTCCAACCGAGCACATCTGTCGACGTGCTGACGTGTTCTACCACCAACAGTTCTCGGAAAATCACTGCATTTGTCAAAAAATTCGTACATTGCACACCATACTCGGGTTATTAACGCCATTCGATGATTGTTTCACCAGTAGACGACATCAACAGGCGCGAGACTGACGAAAATACAACTCACAAGGAACTTTTACTAAGCCATCGGCGCCTTTGCCACAATCTCATTAATAACGCACTGCTAGAACGTTCCCGGTATCACTATCTTTGACTAAAATAGCCTATATAAGGTCATGATGCAATAGCAAGTTCCAGCATTACTCACACTTGTCGATTCCCTTAACGATGGCTGAGCAAAAGGCACTGTTCCTCGAAGCTGCACAGGGCGAATTTCGTGTTAGGCAAACGTCGATTCCGAAACCTGGCCCTGGAGAGCTCCTTGTAAAGATCCATGCGACCGCTTTGAACCCTGTCGACTGGAAAATTCAGGCGTATAACTACTTTATCACCGAGTATCCTGCCATCCTTGGAACGGATTCTGCTGGTACTGTTGAGGCAGTTGGCGAAGGAGTGCAGAATTTTGCGAAAGGAGACCGAGTGTAAGGTTTTCTTTAGCCAACATCAATAGCTCTAACGTTCTTGCACTGTAGTGTCCATCAAGGCTACTTCACCAATGACAAGGCAACGTTTCAGCAATATACGATAGTGCCAGCTGAGATAACAGCGAAGGTTAGGAATTAAGCTGCCCTCACAGTATCTCGCGTTCTAACATCGGTTACCATACAGCTGCCTCCCGATATCTCTTTTGATGAGGCCGCCTCAGTCCCACTTGGCCTCGCAACTGCCGCAGTAGGACTTTACGGTGACAGACCAACCGGTGTCCAGAAGTATAAGCCTGCGTGGGAGGACGGTGGTGAAGGTTTATATCGTGGAAAACCGATTGTCGTTTTCGGAGGATCGACATCCGTCGGGCAGTACGGTAAGAACTACCGTTATAAATATGCTCTGAGGGACAGAAGTATTGACTCTATTATAAAATAGTTATTCAACTGGCTAGGCTCTCTGGGTTTTCACCTATCATTACAACTGCTTCATTGCACAATGCCGACCACCTGAAATCGATTGGTGCGACACATATCATCGACCGTAAGGCGGATGTGCCAGCCAAAGCCAAGGAGATTCTTAGCAGCACGCCAATAGAACTCATTTACGATGCAGTTTCGGAAGAGGATACCCAGAATCAGGCGTGGGACTTGCTTTCGCCTGGCGGAACACTCGTAATCATCCTTACGTCAAAAGTCGACAAAGGGAAGTATAAGGACAAGACACTTATTGATACCGTTTTCGGCAATGTGCATGCTCCAGCAGCACGACAGCTTGGTATAAGTCTCTATAGCAAGCTGATACGCTTACTTGAGGACGGGACTATCAAGGTTTGTGAATTCTACTATCCATGGCAGCTCACATTACTGATGGGATCCTATGGTAGCCAAATCGTGTCGAGGTACTTCCGAATGGTCTAGCTGGAATTGTGGATGGTCTTGAACAGATGAAGGCAAACAAGGTTAGCGGAAAGAAGCTTATTGCTCGTCCGCTAGAGACTGCTTAGGTGAGATGAGTGTATAAGAGAGGCGAAGAAGATAGTCGTTGCGCCAGGTTTGATGCTAGGAAGAACGATTTATGTGTATCGTATTGTATTAGTGACAACATGTCAAATCTAGCGGGATTCGCTAGCAATCTACTTGTTTTAAGCAAGGCAAAGTTTATATTTTATTTTATTTTATTTTCTGAATATAGAAAAGAAAAGGAAATCCACACATACAAGTGCCATGGTTATATTTTATAGTCAGGTCGATTTCTGACGTCCCTATACGTTTACTTCCTAGCATATCACAAGTTCATAACAGAGTTCTCCAGGGAAAGCTACAGACGTTACTGATAAGTATGTCCTAAGATCATAAAGACCCACTTGCACGTCCTTTGCGGATGTTGGTTCAGTATGGATGGAAAGTAAATACGACGAACTTGATGTATAGTGTGGCGTGAAAAGCTGTGATGATAATGTAAAGGCTTTGAGTGGACTGCTGCACAAAGCACCGATAGTGGTGGGAGTCAATGTTTACGTAATGATCTTCGTAGTTACCTCCTCCGAGTCCCAACTTGCCAAGGCTACGACTTGTGCAAGCATCAATCGTATTCCTCTTGTCTGCATGTTGGTAACGCCCCTATATTCAATTACAGCGGAGTTCAAGACGATGCTATGTGCTTTGTCTATATTCTTGAGGGATGAAGTTGGTTCGTATCGCAGTGCGGCTGACTTGGCCCCGTTACTTGGGAAATTCGGCTGACACGTCGTGGTCGTTCGACCCGTCATAGACCGTGCTTGTTGCACTTCTATCAAGGACAAGAATGTTTTTTCTCAACGTGCACAATGCTTCGCTATTTCTCGTTACCTCGCTCGCATTCTCTGGGATTTCGTTGGCTGGTTCTGTAACCGAAGGTGGCTCTTGTTCCCCGTCCAACGACAGAGTTGACCCTTCGATACACAAATTCATTTCTGATTGTGATGATAGAACTTTCTGTTCTTCAATGTCTCCCCAGGAAACTGTTACAGGAGTGAGCATTTCGACCACGTCTTCAGTTGCTCCGAAACCATCCGGGGTTTGTGTGAAAAGGTTATGTCGGAAAGATGAATTCCCTTTCGGCTTCGCTCCAGATGAACCACTTCCGCCAACATGCAACCACGGCTTTTTCTGTCCCGACAATGGATCGGGATGTCGACCGACACTTCCGAGTGGTGCGCCTTGTGATATGGACCGCGATTACCAGTGCAGTGCGTCAAAGAACTGGAATGGCGTCTTTAGTCACTGGAACGTAAACGGATCTGTTTGTCTCAAGTCCACATGCATGTGTGTCAGCTTATTTCACTATCTGTTGAACGTTGTCTCATGAGACATACATACTATTAGGTACGCCAATGTGACGGTTGGTTTGCCATGTATCCTTGAGCGCACGGAATACGTTGGCTACAATCGCGATAATGCATCATACAACGTTACTGTTATGCGAGACAATTGCGTTTCAAGCTGGCCCAAGCTATACTGTAGCACGACAACCTCCATATGTGAAAAGATGAAAGAGTTGGGCGAACCGTGCACAGTCGATAGAGAGTGCCTATCCGTGAGTCTTATTCGTGAGTCTTAAGGACTTTTCTCGAACGACTCATCCATACTTGCTTTATGATCAGCAATATTGTAACTATGAAGAACACGTATGCAGCGATCCTCCGGGACTGCTGACAAGCGTTGAAGCGTGGCAGTATGTGCTTACTGCGCTCTCTGTTCTCGGGGGTGAGCTCGCCTCGCCGACATTATACGTGATTATTTAAGAGAATCTTCATAGCTGTTGCGATGACATGTGTGTTCCTTGTCTTAAGTCACAAACGGCAACGAATGGAGCGGTACTCCGAACTTCTGGAATATTACCACGAGCAAACGAGGTAGGTTCCTTGAATAATATCGTAGTGAATGATATCTTACGCATCCCTTCAGTCTACGGGCATCTATTATTTCGCTTCATGTAGCAGCCTCCCAGCAGATCGGCGGACCAAAAATTGCGTGAACTTTGGAAGGACGTAGAACTTCTTATACACTAGATTGATTGCTGTGGTATCTTTTATCGCAGGACAGACGCACATTCACGATATGAAAATGTAAGAAGTACATTGTGTCAAAGCAGAACTAGCATTCATTTTTGTACAAGTGAAAGTCACATAATATGAGTTCACTCTTCGTAACCAGAAGCACGCATTATTTACGCTGTTTGTGATATTACAGCCTTTGGGGATCTGAAACTTATGCACTGCTTTGCAAGTTGCTTGGCTTGATAAAAACCAATAATATGCTTTGCAGATAACGTTTTCTAAGGGCAGAGTTGTGATGTAATAAAATACTGTATAGTATAAATTCACTTCAATAGTAGAGGGAGGCACCAGAATGGTTAAGCAACTATCATTCTAATGAACAAAAGGTAAACCTTGGTCATCCCAGATGCAAGAGCACAGAAGGTTGTATAACTACTAGAGATATTTGTATAACTACTAGAGATATATTATAAGTTTTAGGAGTTGTTCAAGTGATCCATAAGTAGCCGACGTACATCATATGTAACGTTCTGTGAGCCTTTATTCACTCGGACCTTCTGCTGGTTGCTTGTCAAGTAAACCCATTACTTTCCAAGTACAGTTGAGAATTTCACTGCTTGTAAGAAAACGGTCGCTGGGAATGTGGATGCCATAATCGTCTAGCAATGCTCTCGCGATTCTTCTTGCCTCTTGTGTATAATTTCCTGGGAATTCTGACTTATACCTTTCAAATCTGTCTTGATTGACAAGGTAGGTTACTTTTCTCAGTTCTTCATTAGCCCATGCGAGATAAGCGTCATGATTGCCATCTGCACGTGGGTTCTTCTTCTCCAAGTCAATACATCCTTCCCAATCGCTTTTTGCCTTTAATGCTTTCTGTATATCCCGAATTACATGTCTTGTGTTACCAAACTTGGCCAAGAAACTTTGAACTCTTAACTTCTCGTCCGTGTCCCATTCGGGCCTATTATGTTCCAATCCACAGAGACTGTCCATGAGCAAGAAAACATTCTTTGCAAGGATTTGATTTGATTGGCTGGAGCTGGATGTACCTGAGCGACGGTGTCTGTTCCTCTCCTTGTGAGACATGGTTATTGAATGAAGTATTGCACTATGATAATGAATGATTGGGGATGGCAAAAGCTGTGCGCTTTTTATACTGCTACATTGATACGAAGCAAAGTCTGAATACAGTACTAATCATCCTTGCTCTATTGCAGAGAGCATCCAGACACATGCGATCAGTGTGTCAGCAAGGACCTGTTGAGCGCTATTGGCATTCTGTCAAATTTGCACAATACTGCTATGAGTGACTTCAAGAGGTAAGGTAGAGAAAGTATAAACCCGACATAGGGTGTCACATCAGTCACAGCACAGCCACTTACCCCTTTAGGAAGGACCCTTTGGCAAAAATTGAGCCGTGGACATTGACCTTTTTTTAAACATACAAAAAAGGTCTTAGAAATCTTTTGTATAGCTTTTATTAGTACTACAAATTAACAATATATTGATAATACTTGGTTGTATCTTGAATATTTATCATTAGAGTAAGTATTTATTGTAAGCCTCTGACTCTTATAACAAATAGACGAAAAAGCTGACCAATATTATATTGGTAATAATTAGTAAGACGCTATATATGGAGATGTTATATAAGATTGGTTTTGCCGAAGCGGCAAAAATCCGAGAAATTTTTTTGAAATTTTCACTAAATTGCATTTCTGTGCATTTGGCAATTAAAAAAAAAGTTTTTATTTTTTTGGAAATAAGTCACTCAAATCTCAATATTTTTAAAAATTAAAAATATACTTTTGTAGGTTAGAGTAAGCTTAATCTATCTATGCAGCTCAAATCTGCATTTTTGGGATACTGAGTGTTGTATTTTGCCATCATTGTTTGCATCCCAATTGGGTTAGACTGCTGTGTCACACTATGTCAGGTTTATACTTTCTCTACCTTATAAACTTTGTACTGTGCACCTCAACCCCCTCATGCATCATTCCTAATGCAAACACAGACATTACCAACTAGTCTTGTTGCTACACATACTAGGTCTCTGATTGGACAATGGTCAAAGTATGTTCTGTAAAATGCTTGTTATACATGATGAATTAATTCCATTTCTGTTGTAACAGATTATAAAGTATGAAAATGCAACTTTGAAGTTGCTGGAGGGCTGTTGTTAGATACTCCCCAGTCTCTTCTCTTTTAGTAGATGACTGCTTGAGATGGAAATATAGTCTTGTTTTCTATATTGCACAAGTAGAGACATAAGTATATTGACATTGTAGAAAAATCATAATGTTGAGGTTGAAAATAGGCATAACAAGTATGTTTTCCAGATGTGAAGAGAAAGTCAAACACAGATCAGAAATGGAAAAATAGTAATCAATTTATTGAACCTTGTAGACATAGTACATTGTATGATTATAATGGATTATTATTATTATTTATTTTAAATATTTATTAGAGTAACAAACTGTAAAAAGTACTACTCTCTATTAATGATTTGTCTCTATTGTGTCAGATCAGTAAATGTAACAAGTTTATTTTCAGGAATATAAATATTATAGTCCTTTTTCAATACTTTCACAATTTTATTAGTTTCTTGTATATACTTTGTTAGATATGTAGTTTTGTAAGCAGTAAATCCATCTGATCTAATATACATAGGAAGCTCCTGTTTCCTTTTTTCTTTTTTACAAAGCAGTTCTTTATTCTTACTTAATTTTTCTTCCTTGTGTTTTATTTCCTCCTCATGTTTTATTTTATCTTCTATTTTTATCTCATCCTTTTTACATTCTAGGTTATCTATCAGGTTTCTGATTTCATCCTTCATACTTTCTATTTCATTCCTCTTGCTTTCTATCACATCATTAATATTATCAAGTTCATCAGGCTAATACTTTTTGAAGCCTAGTAAATTTGTACTCTTCTTGTTGTATTTTTGAACTTGTTCAAGAACTTGCTTACATTTGGTAAATTGCCATTAGCCTTGTCAACATTGTCACAGAGGTGTAGTATGAGTAAGAAAACATTGTATGTCTGTATGTACTATGTAGCATGATGAAGAGCTTGGGAAGAAACAGAATCTGATTGACTTTGGTGAGACATACTAGTAATTCCAAGAGTTAGATAGACGTTTGACAAGCTGAAAAACAGAAACACTTGATAGTAACACAGTAGAGCTTTGCTTATAGTACTGCTGCTACTGCTAAAGCTGCAGCTAAGCAAAGTATGCCAGTGTTAGATGAAATCACTCATCTTTGACAGGGACACAGTAATGCACTGTTGACTAGTTGATGAATTCCATTTCTGTCATAACAGAATGCAAAGTAATGAAAGTGCAATTTTGAAGTTGCTAGCTAGAAGGGGGTTACTGCTTATCCTCCATCCATTTCTCTTTCAGCGGATGATAGATGGACCTGTAATATCAGAGTAATTGAGTAAAGATGATTTATTTTTATTTGGACACAATAATATGTATTTATCCTTGCCTCGTGGACGCGGCACGGAGCATCATGCAGTCATCATCGCTGCCTTTCACTTTCACGTTCCCTTACTCTTGTCCACTGCCCGTCCCGTCCCTTCACCCCAAGCGAGTTAGCCATGGCAGTCGCACCCACATCACACACACGTTCATCTCATCTCACAACACATTCAAATGGCCTCCACCTGCTCGATGTCAATATTAATCATCCTCCCATCAAATACCCTAGTCCATCCCCTTCAATAAAGCAGCCCGTGTCTTCCGGGCATTCCTATCCCCAAACTAACGAAAATACTGTGGAGGAAATTGTAGATGATGACAACGATGACGAATGGGAGCTTGAGCGTGAATACGTCGATGTCAATGCAGCGGATGCCACCGCCGGATATGGCATCGATCCTTACCTTGGTATACCTGCACGTCCTCATCCAGTACACAGAGACAGCCAGGACGTCGAGTTTGGGAACAGGCTCACGCCAACGCGGCGAATGCGCATGAGCGGGCGAAGTCGCGGTCGGGGATGGGAAGTGAATGTCCGTTTACCACACGTCAAAGGCCTGTCGCGCGGAAAGACAGCATTCCTCAAAACACTCCGTGGTGGGCTAGCTCGTGTGCACTCGGCGGGACATTCATCGTCAAATAGCCATTCACCGCCGAAGTTTGAGTTTAGAGACCCTCAGCCCATGCCGCAGAGTATTAGACAGCAATACGCGGAACTTGCGCCTGCAGACTCCGCTCCCGCACCTGCTCCGGTCCCTTCAGAAAGGGAAAAGCGGGCGAGCGAGATGAGGACGGAGAATGGGTTACTTGCACCACCTGTGCCTACGAATAGGCCGAGCCCCGCAATGACAAGTCCCCGGACATCGTTAACCGGGCACGATGCAGAGTCTGTACGCCGACATTCACGTTTACAATCCGCATCCTACCATTCGCAATCACAGACTCGAACTTCTAGAATACAAACACCCCGCCCTCGCTCTCGCTCTGCTGCTTCCCGCCGAAGCGCATCCAGTCAGTCAACTGTCGCGGCACACACCTCCCAATCACACGGAGATGGCGTCGGAACCGCAGAAACGACTCTTGTCCAGCACATCAACGACGCAGGCCTCATGCCACTTTATCGCACTCAATCAAAATCACCCAAGTCTTCCAAACTTTATACCGATGGCGTTCCTCAACGTTCAAACACTTTGTCATCAGTCCGAGAGCTCCGTGTACCCAACCCTGTTTCGGTGGCTCGCGCCCGGTCACAGCACACACGCAGGTCTACCAAACCGAAATCCTCTCTTGTCCGCGCACTACAAGCTTTCCAACGTCTTCCGTGGATAGCTAACCCGGAGTACCCTCCGGGCGCCCTAATGCCAACGGGCTCTCCGCCTCGCATCGCAAAGGATTTTGTGCCCTCACGCTCCGCACGCGCAAAGCTGCGCGAAAAAACTGCACCTGGTATGGGTGTCGTATATGCCAAGAAAGGTGTAGATGCGGGTGAACTTGAAGAAGAGGAAAGAGATAACCCGTCATGGTATAAACCCGGTACGCGTCAGATCCAGCGTAGTATGCGAACACAATATGCACAGAGGACCCGCGGCGTACGTGCACTTACCAACGGCATCGGTCATTTGAGTTTATCAAAGGGTGGAATGGGTCCGGTCAAACAGGCATATGCGAGCTACCGTGTAGCAAGTGGGCGACCAATGGGGTACATGTATGCGTCTCCGATGCCGAGTAGGAGTGTCAGCGCAGGTGGCGGCGCATCGCCGTATTCGGCTATGCGGCATCAGTATTCGGGGCATCCGCGTGCTGGTGGTGGGAGTGCTGGTGTTTATACAGTACCTAGATCAGCTTCGAGCTCGGTTGCGGGATCTGGTGGGCGGGGCCAGATTGCGGCTGCTGCGTCGGCGTATCTTTCACGCAGTACGAGTGCGAGTCAGGTCAGCACGCCTGCTACGCAGAGGAGGGGCTCCGGATATGTAGCAAGTGTACCGAGCGCACCTAATGTACAGGCGGCTCCGCCTGTCCCTCCCAAGGTAGTTACCGCCCAACCTCTTTCAGTGCGTAATTTATTTCTCGGATTTGCTCTGATACGCATTCTCATTAATTTTTATTTTCTCGTATTAATAGCAACAACAACAATCAGCATATAATTACAACTACCCAAGCAATACCACTCAAAACCCAGTACAATACTACACGTATAATTTTGCATACCCTCAAGCACAACCATACACGCGATCCCGCGTCCCGGGTTCTTCACCGCCTCTTCCACCAGTTCCTCCACCAAGTAGTGGCTACGCGCATAGCAGTCATGTGCGGAGTCAATCGTATCCTCCTTCAGCGCCTTCGGCGTCTGGACATAGCCATCATAGCCATCATACTCATCATACGCAAAATACGCAATACACGGCACATCATATACCGACAATTCCGAGTATCCCTTCTCAGACTCCGTCGGCGAGTACGCATGTGTCTTCTTCGTACTCCCATGGATCTGGTGGAAGCGGGAGTGGGAGTGGGAGTGTGACGACGAGTGGCTATGGGAGTGTGATTGCGCAGGGACCGCATAGATATATGGATTATTCGTATTCGTATTTACCGCGGTAAAAAAAAAAAGCGATGGGTTTCAGGAGATCTTGGAGATCTTGTAGGTTTTTTTTTGGGAACTCGGTGTGTTCTATATTTGTATCATTTATGTTGCATATACGTCATTGCTGTACTTGCTGTCTCTCGCTCTGGATAGTGTATTCTTAATTGTGGAAGAATATAGCGTTTCTCTCATATGAACGCTGTGCCTGCTTTTTGCTTTCGTTCTTGTCCTTCATCTTCATTTTCTCGTTTATTTCGTTTTCTTTGACTTTTCAGATACGCAGGGCTTTTGGGGAAGGTGAGTAGTCTTTTATTATATTTGAAATACTGGAGTAGTGCTAATATGTGTACTTTTAAGATGTAATTCTGGTAGGTTACTTGCAAGGCTACTAGAATGAGGAAGACTAGAGCATCGATCTATGATCACCAGGAAGCGTCTCCAAAGAATGAAGCAGATCCTCAAGAGTTGCAAGCATTCCTACTTATAAATTCTATGAAGCCGAACTGCTTACTCACTGGCGGGAGCTGGATGAATCTAACACCCGAGGCGCCAAGAGTGAATCGGAGGACGATCACTGCTGGACTGTTCAAGAGAAGAACTTGAATAGAAGGCGAGTACAACGGTCGTTGGATTGTTCAAGGCCAAGAGAGAAGTAATAACGAGGCAAGTAACCGTGATGATTCCTACACAAAATGACTGACTATAGTGTATAGGTTCTAACGCATTTAGTTGACCTCCAAACAGAATGGGTTTATGCTCTAGCTTGCCGTTAGCGCTGTGCTTCGCTGCGTTCTCGGTATGATGATCCGGACGGACGTGATCTTCATGACCACACTGCACTTCATTTCACATTGAACGTGGATGCAACGACCGAGGATCCGAGTGACTCACGCGACCTGCAAGTGCCACCTTTACGCTCAGAGAAAAGCCTCCGAAGTTGAAGTTTTCGCCACAACAAAATGTGCAAAATGTCTAGTTACGTTCCTCTCTGACTTCGCAGGACCTTGCCTTTCAGTTATAAGATCTCGGTAGTTGGACAAAATTCTCTACGGACCAAGCGTGCCCAGGCGCTTGAGAAGGCTTCTGTGATGTCTGCTGTGAAGATCTAGTCATGATCTTCCTGCAATGGGCACTGTATGTTACACTTCACAAAATGTAAGTCTGTCATTTTCAAGTATAACCTCGGTAATGACATTTCCGCATGCCACTTGCATGCATTTCCAGCACCATGAAATCATTTATCATCATGCTGTGCTAGCCGTGCGTTTGCATGGTGCTCCACACGCAACCCTCAGACCCGCGAAAGCCATTTACTCTCGCTCCCCATCTCTGCACCCTCGGTCAAGCTACTCCTCTCTGGAAGGGAAGACAGTAAATTCGGCCTAATCTATTTCGTCAATCGACAGAGCCGCTTGACTCAACCGACCAGTGCAGTTACAGACTTCGGCAGGTCCGATGTCGAACATTCCAACTAGCCCGCGCATTGTGCAGCGGCGCGTTTCCGTAGAGACGTTTAGCTCTAATCCTGATGTTGATGTTGACGAGGACGAACATATTGACTACAATGGAGGCTTTGGTGGAGGCATGCGACCTCCTAGTCCTCATCCCGTTGCGCTCCGACCACCGCGCGATTCGTCCGTACGTCAGTCATTTGCAGTCGCGGCCCCACCCGCGTACCCGCCAGAGTCGTACCCAAGGCAGTCTCTTGCGGTCCCTAGAACTGAGCCGCCGAGGCGGTCGTTCATTCCTTACTCTGAATTTGGATACCACGAGTCGCAGCTACAGACAACGCAGGACCATTCATTTGTGGATATAACAGAAAACATGCGAATCGATCCGGACGTTGCACAACGATTCGCAGACGATGTAGAATTTCCGTATCGCGAGTCCCGTGCACAACGGCCCGGTCGTCTACGTCGTTTTGCTCGAGCGATGCTCTGGCCATTTCGATTTATTAAATCTGCAGCCCGGCTTCCTAAATTCCTGCGACGAAAGTCATCAACAGCGAAACGGTCTGTCGCTCAGTCAAGCGGATGGGACTTTAAAGACCGAACGCCTGGTGATACCTCATACCATATGCAGAATTCTAACGAAGGTGGGGTCGAGGATCACGGCACTGAGAATGTCACTGCAATATTTCCTGTTGCGATGACGGCCCCTGTGACAATGATCGAGACTAATACAGAGCACAGATGTGATATTCAAGGTAGCGGAAGTCATTCGTCAGGGGTTATTGTTGATAGTGGTCATGCCCGTTCGGCTAGCCCTCACTCGCATGTCTCTGGCCATTCCCCTTCCCACCGGAGCGCCCAATCTCACAGAGAGACGAATAAGGCGAATGGTGATCCCGTTCGCGCGTCTGGAACTACAAGGACGACGGGGACGACACACACGAGTTTCGCCCCTTTTTCACCCACAGCTGCTCCTGCGAGCGAGATCAAAGAGTCCTCCCGAGGACGGTCGAGTCGTACTTTCTCCTCGATGTCTCGCGGCTCGGCGCTATTGCATCACGTCGTCCGACTTTACCATGCCTTGCGTGTGCTGTATCATCTCCCCTGGGTTGCTGTTCCGCCGATGCGCGTCACGGTAGACGTTATACCCGCACTCAGCTCGCGATCTAAGTACTGCGTACACCGCAGACCACTAGGCATACCGAAGGCGGTACTCGATGCCGCCACTGCTGCAAAGAACATGGACCCTTCCGCCTTCGGGAAATCATGGTATCGCCAATCACCTGAGAAGCTGCGCGAAAAACAAATACAGCAGGGAAAGTGGACGTGTCGGCATCATTCACACTCACACTCCCCTTCAAACTCGTACCAGCAGTTGCTTTCTGAGGACCAGCGGTTACGACAGCAGATGAATGCACCGACTAAGGGCGTGCCGATTTTTATGTTCAATCCTTCCGCGCCGCCGTTCCCCCAGCCATTGCCGTTCAGTGCTCAGCAATTCTATATGGTTCCAGGCCCACCGCCGCCTCCGAGTGCCGGCGTACCGATGGCTACTAGAGCTCCATCAATTGTAGGCGGGATCCGTTCCCCGCCGGCTGCGCGTCCACCGAGTGCTCTATCCTTTCGTCCGGGTCCACGCCCCGTCCAAACTACACCTGGCCCGGGCCAGGTGCAGAATCCGACCAGTCCTGATACTATCAATGGTGATATTAATGGTAATAGTAACCTTGTCGGTGGAAGGGTAGAGATGCCGCGACCTCCGCCTGCTACTGCACAACCAATGTATATGCTTGTCCCCGCACCTCATGGTCCACCTCTCCCTCCTAGCTATGGAAATATGTATTCATACCCCTATTCCCCACCCTGGACCCCGCCTCAACGGATGCAGTGATTCATGTATGCTTTGTATTGTTTCTACCGTATTACGCTTGTATGTTCGAATGCTTTTAGCTGGCATTGTCTTCCCCACCGTTCTCGTATCAACTTCTGGTCACGCATGCATTAGTATGTATATTGTACTGATGTACCTCGGTCATATAATGGCAAGATGACCGAGTGGTCTAAGGTGTGTGACTCAAGCGAAAGCTTGCCCTAGCTTAGGGTTCTCATCAGCGTCAGCTGGCGTGGGTTCGAATCCCACTCTTGTCATATATTCCTCCCTGATGAATTTTTTACTTTCCCTTTTAGAGTACTGTTTTTAACATGGCTTTCAAGTACAGGTCCTTCAAATATCAGGGTATGCAAATTGCCTAGAAACTCTTTTTGAACAGTCTAGTGGATTATAGTAGTATAAATTATGTGTTACTGAAATTCCTGAAAATGTATTAGAGCTCCTTACACATTACACATTTACAGTACTGTATAGTCAGTCTCCTTGCATCTTAAATGTTTTCAATATACAACCTTCTTCTTACACATTGACCAGTACTAATAACTTTGTTTCATGTATAAAAAGCAGGACAGGCTAAATCTAGGAGTTTCTACATCATCTACCAAGCTTATATACTTTTACACAACAACCACTAGTACATCAAAGTTCTGCAAGGCTTCATCTTGTACATATCCAAGCATTGCTCAGGAAATAGACATGCAAGCAATTACTTTCCAGAAATTTTCTTTCTTCACTTTCTGGAAACACTCGTCATGCTTGGCAGGTTACTCAAAGGGGCTAAAGTGGATTATTGCAGAACTCGGAAAACACAAGACAAGACTGAAAAGTGGAGCCTTTGTAAGTTGAGCGTAAATTGGCGACGCACTAACAACGTAGCGCTCGGCTCGGCTGTACGTATTGCAACGCTTGGGCTCGGAAAACTCTCGAGCAAAAAGGTTCGCGCGTGCCTGGCGTACATTTGTCGAGAAACGGGCATTTGTAATCGCATAAAGGGAAAATGGTATTTTGATCCGGCTGCCATACTACGCGACTTAAACTCAACATCCACAAAACCACAACCACAACCAAAAACCGGAGAAAAATTGCGCATTAAAATCAAGGATATTACCAAAGAAAGATTCAAAGGAGAAATGGGAATGTAAATGTCGGCTTACGGCTCAACAACTAACAAACTATCAAACGCATCGTACCAGTGTGCAATAGTCCTTGTGTTATGCGGATCGGTGATAGGAAGGGAAAAGAAAGAAAGAGTCCAGCCAGGACATGTCCAGAAAGTCGCGTAACATATCATCAACCAAGACATAAACGGATAAGATGAATGTTTACACGATGATCAAACCAGCAGTGAGCATGCCCATGAAAGCAATCACTGCACCGGCACCGGCGCCATTGCCAGCTCCTGCCAACATCGAGCGTGCGCTGACACCGGCAGCGTTAGTACCACCAGTGCTGCTTGCATCACTACCTGAACGCGTCGCAGTGCCTCCGGAAGTGTTACCGCTACCAGAAGCAGTGCCCGTTGCGCTAGAGGAAACGTGCTCGTTGTACCACGAGGCCGCGGAAGCGAAGAGCTCGGCCGACTGGAACTGCGTGCAGCTAGAGGAGGCAGGAACGACGGGGGTATAGGGAATAGTGGTAATTGGGCCAAGCGACTCGGCAGGCTGAGTGAACGTCATGACTATTGACAGAGATACATATGAGTTTCTGAACCGAAACAAACGAAAGAAAATAAAAATACCTTGGCCGTTGGATGTATAAACACCTGGGAAGTCCTGGTTGTCACCCAAGCAAGCCTCGAAAGTACCGTTCTTGGCAGCGTTCGGAGCATTGTAGGCACATCCGATACGATCAAAGATGTGCTGGCAGTAGTCTGCGGCATGTTGCCCAGCTGGATCACAAACCTTGAAGCAGAACACTTCACCGCCCATGAAACTAGAAAGTCCGCGTCAGAAAAGGAGTACTCGGAAGTTGTTTAATACATACTTGTGCCATTCAATAGCCTGGATATAGGTGTTATTATCACCATTGCTGGCGTTGAAGGCATTCGAGTACACAAGACCACCCATCGGGTTACCCCGCAAGTCAGCACCATGGGGATCAAGTTCTCCTCCGAAGTCACCGGATTTAATATTGATTTTGGATTGGTCAATGAAACCGACGACTTGGAGGTAGTCAGGCGTGCGCATGTACTGGACGCCCTGAAGCGCGCCAGGAGGGATAATACGAGTACCCTTGCCGGGCTTCGTGCACCAAGCAACTTCTTCACCCTCAGTATCGGCGATTAAGGAGTTTGCTTCGGGTGGAGCCCAGAGGCAGAAATCTAATTTGATAAATCACGTCAGAAATCAAGAATAGTCCCAGCTTTCGGAAACTTGTACCATCAATATGGTTGAGGAAAGACGTCTGGCAAAGGGAGCTCTGGCCTTCAGTCGTAGAGTTACAAATGTTATAACCCAGCTGTTGGCCGCGAACGAGATTGGTATCTGTGTCCACTTTGTAGGGCTGACAGCGATTCATCAAAATTAGTCTTTGATAAAATGGAAAAATTTCATCGAGTGCGCACAATTTCAGAGGGATAAGCATAGTGCTTGCTGGCAAGTGGGGTAGCAGGGAAAGTACTCTGCTGAGCCCGAGCAAAAACGGCCGCACCGACGGCAACGGCAAGGGGAGTGAGGGTGAAGCTAGGCATTCTGAAAAAAATAGCCTATAGTATAGCGGCAGTAACGAGCGACTATGAAAGTTGCGAGAGAGAGAGCAAACGGCTTTAAGAACGCCTTAGAGTGACGTCGAGAAGGGGAAAGAGCTAGAGATGGAGAGGGGGGGCGAGTAGGGGAGCCAAGAGCAGGAGGTGGAGGCCTTTTGTATTGTCACACTGCGCGTGACGCTCTCCGCTTCCGACAGGTCCATTTAGCTTCCTCAGAACTCTCTTGGCACCTTCGCGAATCACTCGTCCAATTGATCGAGAAAATCATTCAAAAGAACGTTCAAAAAATCTTGTAAACATGAACAACAAAGACAGTCAAGCTGTTCGCGTATGGAGGCCACTCATTGAATTCTATCATCACGAGTCAGTGACAGCAATAACATTTCTTCGGGGACGGAGATTAAGAGGAGCCTGAGAGACTGCCAAGAACTTCGCTTACTGCGGACAAGTTACAACTGTTTGTCATTTCGTTCTTCGTCTGGACAACCGAAATCTTACGAGGCTAGGACGATATGCATCTTCGTCTTCGGAATTAGTTTCCGCTTCAAAAACTTGAAGACCTTGCATTGCAAACCAGCCTTTCAACGTCCTGTTCGAATCTGACGTCTAGACCCTGTGGCTGGCATCGGATTTGCGTCGCTTACTTATTTTGTAACACTTCTTCGTGAGAAATTCAAATGAAAGGAAGTTCCGAATAAGTTTACGTAACATTCAGTGATCTAAGCGTGTGAATGCTTTGTCATTGACTGTACAGATCCCCAACACAGAAATTACTCACTCACTACACGCTGTTCACGACATCCTCAAGACACCAAGACCCACAAAATGGCCTCCCGTCCGACCGTCAACATCCGCACTGTCTCTGGAGGTGAGTCTGATATCCATAATATCCATAGTTATAGTGAATATTAATTTGTTTGTTTCATTTTATAAGAGGCATCCTCGTCTCTGCCACTCCCTGCGGTCCTTACCGCACCAATTAGGCTCGATGTTGTTCAACAGGTACACAGTGAGTATCAACCATCTACTTTGTAATGCCACTCGCTGAAAGTAGTTTACAGAGAGCATTGCAAAGAACAAGCGTCAACCGTACGCCGTCAGTGAGAAGGCTGGTCACCAGACAAGCGCAGAGTCCTGGGGAACTGGTCGTGCGGTAGCTCGTATCCCTCGTGTCGGAGGTTCAGGTACACACCGTTCCGGTCAGGCAGCTTTCGGGAACATGTGCCGTGGTGGTCGTATGTTCGCACCAACGAAAGTCTGGCGCCGCTGGCACGTAAAGGTCAACCAGAACCAGCGTCGTTTCGCTGTCGTCTCTGCCCTTGCAGCGTCTGCTCTCCCGTCTCTCGTTCTAGCGCGCGGTCACCGAATCGAGCAGGTCGAAGAAGTCCCGTTGGTTGTAGGATCTGGTGCGGAGTCAATCAAGAAGACAAAGGAAGCTGTTGCTCTTCTTACTGCTCTTGGTGCTTATGATGACGTGAAGAAAGTCTCATCCTCCCGCAAGCTGCGCGCTGGCAGGGGCAAGATGCGCAACCGTCGTCATCGCCAACGCCGTGGTCCACTCATCGTCTACTTGGAGGACAACGGTATCGTCAAAGCATTCCGCAACCTCCCAGGCGTCGAAGTCGTCAACGTCTCTCGTCTAAACCTTCTTCAACTCGCACCAGGTGGACACATCGGTCGTTTCATTATCTGGACTGAGGCTGCATTCGCACGTCTTGACGAAGTCTTTGGTACCTTCGACACAGCTGCTGTGCAGAAGAAGGATTACTTCCTCCCGACTGCTAAGATCTCCAACCCGGACGTCACACGTCTCATCAACAGCTCCGAGATCCAGTCCGTCGTTCGTCCCGCGAATGCCAAGATCCACCGCCGCCCATGGACACAGCACAAGAACCCGCTCACGAACAAGCTTGTGCTCTTCCGGCTCAACCCGTATGCGAAGACGCTTCGCAGACAGGAACTGCGTTCGTATTTTTTTCCTCTTTGAAAGGCTTTTATTAACTTTTCGATTAGTCAAGCAGGAACGCCGCAAAAAGGCTGCTACCGCAGCAAAGAAGAAGTCGAAGAAGGAATCTTCCGCTGGAGAGGCTTTCATCAACACTCTCTTTGCTCCTTGATTTCCGCTCTTAAAATGTTACTATGTTACCTATATGCATGTGCGTCTCCGTTATGTTACATGCCAGAATATGATACGTATCAGAAAGCATTCATGTGTTGCGGTTTGAGTTACGACATGAAAATGAAATGCACGCTGACTGCGTTTGCCGTCAGACGGAAAAATTAATTATTGTAGACCGTGAAGTGTGATAAAAATTACATCAAATCTCTTTGTAACTTTTACTCTTTCGCACCATATGCGTCGAAGTCAATCACTGCTGGCAGGAGAGAAGCGAAAGTTAAATTCGACAAGCCATGTCACGTCACAGTCACAACCTTCGCTTACCCGATATGGAAGGACCCTGCGGCCAAAATCGTGAGCTTCACCAACATCACCAGAGGCCTCTTGTGGACAAAGGCTCAGAAGTGATAGAGATTACATATACTCAGAGGATTTGGGCCTTATAAGATGCTCTATTCAAGTTCTGAAGCTAAATTTCAGTAGTAGGCTTTGAGCACTAACACATCCTATTTGTATTATAAATATTTGATTAGTAATTTTTGTAATATACCATATTTAGTATAATTAGTCATGTTATATTACTTGTCAGCAGCCAAAATCTTCTCGAGAAAAATTCAATTTTTTCTTTTACTTCACCAAATGAAAGCAAAATAGAAAATAAGCTGTTTAGTATTGAAAAAGTTGAAATTGTTATAACTTTTCCATTTTTCATAATTTTGAAAATCTGTTCCACAGAAATGTAGAGAATTGTATCTGCTACATTTCTGTGGTCTTACATTATTGATTTTTGCCTTGTGTAGTGGGACGAGTTTCGTTGCCAGTCTGTGAGCCTGAGCCAGGAAAGGAAGTTAGGGTTTGATCACGTGTGTCACACTGCTTGTCGAGTTTAACTTTCGTGTACCTTATACTGGATTTCTAGCAGTGATACCAGTCACTTTTGCTCCTCCACATTTGCTCGAACGCGCGCTACCTATTTAGGTATCCCTACCAAGCAGTAAAGCAAAGTCAAGTTTAATTATCTATTATTGATATACTTTGCTCGGGAGTTTCTAGTAGAAGACTGACAATGTATGAACTATAAAGTGGGTCGTCGTGCCAGCATCAGGAGTTACACCCACACCCTTCCACCTCCAAGTCCACACACAACATTCGGTATTGCAAGTATGTCTCACGAGCATCAGAGGCATGATTCAGGTTCCAAGCAGCCATCCAGGCGTAGAGGATCCAGTTCAAGCTCGCCCAAATGCAAGCACGAAATCACGTCATTGAATCCAAAAGATATACAGGTGGCAAATGCTTTCCATCTCATGGAAGAGCTTGTGAAGAGGTCTAGGGGTTTTGCTAATAGGAAGAATCCAAATGAAAATCTAAAGCGAACAAAACTCGACAACTTCCTCAATAGCTTTCCCGGAACAAAAGAGAAAGTAGAAGGAGTAATGCATACACTGGAACGTTATCGTCTGGAAGTTATAAACATTAACGTTGGGTTTGCTTGGAGCCATGGAGAAAGTTTGGAAGGCGGCGATAAACTCAAGGCAGAAGAGAGACAAAAGAAGAAGTATCTATGCTGTAACCTCGGCCGTTACAACAAGTATGCTGAGATATGTCCAGAATACAAATCAGACCTGAAGGAAATCATTCAAACATTGCAAGAGGATTTCAAGATTGTCATACCTAATGATCATCTCATCGAAGTCTCAGAGAGTGACGCACTGGAGGAAAAAATTATAGAAACTCTAATTACGAAATGACCAAATTAGTCGTATGCAAACTAGTATCTTATTTAATTGACCGTTTAGAATAGAGTTAATATGATAAAAGCATTGCTATATAATGAAGTAATCGGAAACAGAGAGTGATGATAAATGAAACAGGCGCTACAAGAATGTGGAGGCTGTGAAAAGAGATAATGAAGCGATTGGAGTGAATTTAGATTCATAACCTGAGCTGCAGAAATGTAAGCTTGGCATGAGCAAATTGAACAAATATTTGAGACTGGATTGCTTGTTTAAAGCGTATCTTTCCTCGCCGATGAAAGTCTTCAATAGGAAGAGCGAGAACTTATCATTACTACTGGAAATTAGAGTTCGGATAATGATTCAAGTATAGCTCGATCAATGAAGCCTTTGTATAAAGTCCGTTTAGAATGCAAACACGTCTTGACGTCTTCGTCATATTGAATGACCATTATCGAATACGGCCATTAGATCGATTTGAAGGGCATGCTGCAGTGGTCATGAAAGCAACGTGGCGAATAGGGTCACTTCATACATGATTCATATAATCCCTAGTAGCTCGCATGTCCAACGTGAGGCCAAGAAGTTAAGGAAGAAGCAACTCGGACAGGATAGAGCTTGCTCTTAAAGTATCCTGACGTTATTGCAAAGGGATTGATGAACGTGTCATTGCATAAAGCCTTGTATGTCTTAAATCGAACACTTGCGAAGTACCGTGCCTCCCTGTCATAGATAGAATAATGACGTACGCGAAACATAAAACGACGGAAGACTGCCTCATCCGGATCTAAGCCCGTGTAAATTCCAAGCGTACTAATACCGGACATAGCGACAAGCGCAAGTCCGAACGATCATTGAAAATACGTCACTTGGTCCCGTCCATGCAAAGCCAGCTAACGTTAGTAATAAAAGCCCTTGGTCTAGAGAGTCGAATGTATCGGACAAATGCCCAACATGGAAGGTAGTGTGTGCAAACTATACGTCGTGCATATGCAATCGATCATGCATGCGTGTCTATCCGCTGAGCGCGCTTGCAGAGAAGACTCGGTGGCAGGGCTCCGGAATGATATCTCTCCAAGCACCGGAGCCTTTCTCTGAGCTTAGAAGGTATTCCCCATTGCTTCACTTTGACCGTGTGAGACCCCAGAGAATGCTTGGATTATTAGTTTCGCATGCCGTTCCCGCGAAACGTCAGAATTTGCTTCCTTTGCACTAGCAGTGTCTTGGATGAGTCGAAAGAACTGTCAAGATTTAGAACCAAATTCGTTGGGGGCGGAGATTGTCAGGAGCTCTGGATCTGCGGATCAAGACTAATGAGCTAAGGACTTATAAGTGGAAGACACCTATACAAAACAGAAGCAAATTTAACCGAATCCAAATAAGAAGGCATCCTTCCCAGCCTCGTAGATAGATGTCGAGCCAAGGAACACTCGGGTTACTTGACAGCGAAGCCAAAATAGACTCCTCTGGATCCGCGAGCCTTCATGCATTCCCGAGTTGTTCCTGGATACTAGAAAAGTACAGAGCAAGACTAAGAATGTCATTAGAATCAGAATTCAACAATGTTCAATCTATCGCTTGAAGTCAAGTACCGATGCAAGAAGTTAATTATAGCGACTGCTGCCTTCAGCGTGGGATTTTGCCGCCCATAACCGCCGTCTCGTGCTCCATGCCGAACCAAGTCAGTATCTCGTAGGATTCAAGCAAGTCACAGGATAAGCTATGCCTCAGGTCAGAAGACGTTGCATTAGGGCCTAGAGCGGGGAGGGGCTACTTTTGCCACACCATTCCAAACACATGCGGGATGTGCGGGATGCTCGGACCATTTTTGTAAAATGCAAGTAGTAGTCTAGCCCTTGGACTTGTGTCGAGTTGAGTCGGTCCGACATTCAGTAGACCATGCAAGCAGCACAATTCCAGTAATTCTGTGGGACATAGCCCAACCCAATGTAGAAGATCAATTATCTTCTGTGTCTCCACCGACAAGCAGTGTGCAGTGTAGAGATGCAGGGGCCAGTGCGTGCTACAGCCTCATGATATTCAGAGTTAATATCCACACCGCCGACGCTATATAAGCTAAGGTCTTGCAGGACTATACCTACTTGAGTAAAGCCGATTAGACGCTCACGTTCCTGGACTGTCGCCTTAGACATTGCTAATGGATTGAGCAGACAATAGGGGTAAACTCCTATAGCCGCCTGAACGAGATGGGAGCAAGCCGCGAAGAAACGCAGTCAGTTGAAATTAACCTGTACGTACAGCCGTAGATGCTCATGTGGAAGTCAAATACTTTGGGACACAGACTCTCAAACTTGCATTCCAGGTCCTTTTCGGCAGCTTTCTGTGAAAAAAGGAGGGCTTAAAATGCAGAGAGACGAGAAGAAAACTACCGTTACCCCGCAGACCGTGTAGCCTGTTTTCCACGCATATTTCATGAACAGAAGCCGGTCCACGAGCCTCTAGCTGTTAGCCATTAAGAGTTAGGCATGAAGTATTCATATTGCCAGCGGAACAACCATGCACCAACGGAAGCCCGTAGCCTGAGAACATGCATGAATAAGTCTAAACATTTTGCATGTACAAGTAGAGCGCTTCTTTACAACGCATCTCTTCTTTAACCCACGGGGGAAAATCCGTGCAAATGGAAACCAGCTGTGTTGTACCCACTAATGTGGTACAATACAGCCATTCATTGAGAAATCGGAGGGATCTAGACAGGAACTGCGGGGTAAATAAAATGCTACAAATACAGTAAATACTGCCATTTAGTATAAATGCCGTGGCCGTGGCTATCACCACAACCCCGTGGGGCGCCGGAGATTCCATCTGTCTCAGAACTAGGACCACTGATTGATTTTATTCCATAAGTATACATGCAGCCTTATAAATAATATCCATCGCCGCCGTCACCGTTGCTGTCGAATGGCGGACCAACTGTATAACCGCTTGAGCGCTGATGCATGGTGATTTGCAGGAGTCTGAGGAGCGGAGAGGTGAAGACTTCATGAATGAGAATATGAATTCCACGTTCTAGAAGAACAGATGTTAGCGGACGCATAGCTCACATGAGCGTATATAATGACAAATAAGATGAAACAAAGGTGCACCAACGCTAGCGCGTGGGCACGCGATATTAGCGGGAGTAGCCAATTCGGGCAGGTACCGATCACGGAAGCAACGGCGTTCCATGCTCCTGCTGTGCACGTGTAATCACCTCTCTCGTACGTTCGCGGAGCGTTGGGGGCGCTGTTGAATAGCGTCGGTACGCCCAGGATCAACATGGCGGCCCGCCGGACTCCGTCATATCGTACGTTCATGATCGAGGTCAAAGCTCATGTTGATGAACAGATTACCAATGTGGTCCATGATTTGGAAGCTTCTTCTCGTGGCACTGTACAGGATTGATCACTAAGTACGTACCTGGAAACGCTCGGATACATGCCTCACAGCGGTTGATTCACCGAGTAAGATGATCGAGAGAAAAGTGAAAATAGCCATTGTCAGCCATGGTGATGATCATGAGCTGAAATTTCCTGGGATCCAATCATGTGGATTGAGGATGATGGTGATTCGTCTGTTCTTTCGGTGAAAAGCCGTAGACAACGCTGAGAACAATCGTTCAGAAATGGCTACAGATGTTATCTGGTCCTATAGTAGACCAACCAACATCAGAGGCTGTAACAGGAAGCGTAAGGTACACTGAAGATCCATGCAAAATCCAAATCTCAATGATGATACATGGTACGCGATGAACAGGCCGTGCTAATAGCAGATTCTGATACCCCACTCATGCCCAAGAAGACAATTTGACTTTGTCAGCAGGCTGCATTGAACGATTCCTCAGCTTCCGACGATCACGCTTGCTCCATCTCAATCATCAGCTTAGACAGAGTCCATTCCGAAGCACTGACAGTTGTAGTCAGGATGAAACCGGATTTCTACGCAGAAGCGAAGAAAAGGAAGAAGATAGGAGAGGCAGTAAGAGAAGAGACGGGTTTCAAAGATACATTACACGTGGATCACGTGGACAGTGGCTGAATCTTCTTGATCGAATGAAAGCAGGCGAGCTTGGGAACCCGAATCAGCCGCAACAGTAATGTGTTCTGAAATCACACAGTCTCCTCTCTGAGAAGAGTAATTATGAAGACTGATTGGTGATTGACGATCTCATCGGGTCGAAGTCCTTCGTTATTTCTCATCTGACGGCTTGCATTTCCATTCGCAGGTATTCTCATGTCTACCATATCTTTCGTTCTTTCCACGACCGCATATGGTTGCTCTCACGCCTGTGCATCCATCCATTGGCCAATGGTGAGTAAACGATACACATGAGAATACGGAAAGCCCGGTGTACTGGTTACTACGCATCCGTGGATTCGTGTTCCCGAGTGCCCGTGTTACCGTGGTATCCTGTGTGTTAATAAGCCTAATAACCTTGCCGAATAGTATATCCGGCTGGCTATACTACAGAACTCGGTATTGGGTCGCTCCGGCTTGAGGGAATAGGTTGAGCCGAACGAAGTCGAGTATGCGAATGATAAGGTGCCAAGGTCCAGGAGACCTGTCTGAGGAATCAGGATATAGCAGTTAGCAGAGCGCCTGACCCCCATAAACACATGCACACTCCGAACCTGGACCTGACCATGACCGAGAAACATGAGATAGAGAATAAAAATAAACGCAAACAAGGGACACCCGACTTAACACCGAGATTAATATTAGTATTTTTTCTTGGACTCGGAAGCCGAGAGGAGCTCAGCCATGCGCTTGCACATTCATCTAATTCATCTAAGTATGCACAGGGACAAGGCACTGCAAAGCTAGGCATCTGTATGCAGGGCCTATCTGTCACTACTTATTAAGCTGCGCATTGTGATGTGATGAGCTACGCATTGTGATGACAGAGCCCCTGCGCATGTGGTAAACTGTACACATGAACAGACGGGCGTGAGTTCTTTACAACGTCGATGATACAACGTCGATCGGACTCTCGGCAAATGTTCTGCCCCGTGGGGTTGGCACGGTCGGTTTAGAAGACGGCCCAGAGGCACGGTAAATTGTAATATACCGCCTCCTCCAAGTTTCTGCACCAACTACCGAGGCTCACAAGTATTGTCCTTCATTAAGTCAAGAGCGGAAGAGCCTCCTTAGCCCATTCAGAAGCTAAGTAACAATTCCGAGGCGACAGAGAATGGATTGCAAAATTAATGAATAGGGAAGATTTTCTCGGAAAGAAGCAGGGACAAGGGGATTCAATAAGCTTTCCCGCTGGCATCAACGAGATTCAAAGATTCAAGGGCGGGTCGTACCTGCCCCGCTTTGTTCATCACCTGTCAACCAATCTTGTACAGATTGACGACTGAAGATTGTATGTGTCCTGACAAGACTGATACTCCAAGCCGTCCAGGCGTATTGATGAAACCGCCACCATCAACCTTTCCATCGGCGGAAGAGGAAAATCATACAAAGAGGCAAGCAACCGTATTAAGCTTTTTCACTTCACGACGTGAAACGTCGAATACTAAGGCGCATCAGTCATGTCAAACATAAGAAACCAAGGAGCACGAGTGTACTTGGTCAGGTATTGTCCTATTTGTGCACCTTCGTATGTATAATCCGTGGAACATAGTTATCTGCTATTGCATCATCTCCGATCACGACCGAACAGGTGATTAGTGATGGACGATCTTGTCGGACGGAAGCAAATTTTCACATTACATTACATTACAAACTGGTACTCCTTTTTCTCAATACAAACTTTGTATACATGCTCATCTTCTCTTTATTACCTCCTTTACTCGGCTCTCCGTGTATTCCCCGTCTATGTCGCAGTTGTACTAATTTGTAAGGTACATAAGAAAGTCGATACATATTACGGTTTTATTCGGATACTCAGCTGTTGAATCCCTAAAGGTACAGGCCGACCTCTCCGCTCTGCTTTTGACTCTTCGTTCCGTCGAATCGCCGTTCGGCAATGATACTCCTTGCAAGCAACCCACGGGCGCAAACGGCCAAGCAACCAGCCAGTCAACAAGTCAATCATATCTCAAATATAGCATTCAAGTTCTTCTCTGTAAAAATAAGTGTCCCAAGAGGAAAGTGCGGAGGAGAGAGCGGACATAAATCTAAAAACGCATTGTACCATTTGTTCACACATGTGTAGACACCGAGAGACGGCAGCAGACAAGTACCGAACGAGGCTTCCGAAAGACTGAGCCTGAGTAATGGGTTAGCGTGAGCCGAGGAACCGAAATACTGAGGTGCATGGGAGCATGAATCCGATTTAATGCATGATTGTGGGATGTGCTTGCTTGGTAGGAGAGGAAACAATTACTTTGTCGTTTGCTTGATCAGTTTAATGTGGGGAAGGATTAGGTATTGGCATCCCGTACTTGCTCGCTATCGAATTTCGCTAAATTGAAGGGAAGCATTAGAGTGTATATGAGTGCTATTGGAGTTACATTACCGCAGGGAACTAATCTGCAACAGGTAGACCCATTGCCATTGAAAAGTATGAAAGTCGGAAAGCCGAGGAGAATCTCAAGCAATTTAATACAGTACAGCTTGCGCACATTTATTAGAGGGAATATGAGACGCTGAACGGGATTGAACGGGATAACGTATGAACTATGATAGTAATCAATTACAGTACTAACTGGATTAGTGTAGGTGTGGAGGAAAAGCCGAGGAATTGACTACAGCAAGCACTCACTGTGTGCTCAATGTATAATATGATTATTAAATGCTCATTCATTCAGATTACTCGCAAGTCGAGCGCGGGTAAAGCGCTTTGCTCTCTATGCAACCATCACAATCTCCAACAAAATTGAAGGGAAGTAAGTAGAGACGGACGCCGAGAGCTGCGATCCAGGAAGTATGGAAATCTGTTCATGATTTGCAGGGACCTAATATGCATATTTTTAGAAGTTATAGTGCGATACCTTCCATAAGACTGTGCTATTGCATCGTTCTCTTCACATACTTGATAATGATGTTATGATGTTAATCCAACGACGGGGCATAGCACAGTATTAATCAGCCAGTTCGACAGTCTTCCCCGTGGGGACCCATATACATATTGAAATCAATCCGAGGTGAGCGCTCATGCACGATTGTCAGTACTATATCAATATCAGCAACAATACTAATATTGATATTAATATGTATGTGGTCATGAAAGATGAATACCACCAGTAAACGCTGTTGGCGGTGATGACGGTACTGACGGTCCGCCAGTATCACTTCCAGTATTTTTCTACAACATAATCAAAGAATAAATGTGGGGGAGCGGTCATGAGCTAGTAAGCGAGGTGTGGAGGTGGAGTTGCTTCATCCATACCATATCATACCACGCATAAGAATAACCGTAGGCGATAGTTTACTTAGTGGTAGGGTACGGGAGAAGACGGGATGGGGATGGGGCGGCAACGATAAGAGAACGGAATGCGATGGGGTCCGTCCAGGACGCGGAAGAAAGCTGACGTATGATAGGATGATAGAGGATCATACAATAATACAACCAGAATTTGTATTTCACAAATCAAATCAACACACAATGCTGTAAATCCTTGAGCGGGGTAGATGGGGAGATACCGAACGTGAAACGTGGAGATTTGGTGATCCGGAGTATGGGTAGGTGGGTCTAGACGCCTTCACCAACACCACCAACCCCATCACCTGTTGCGGAGTGGGGTTGCCTACAGCCTCCACATTTATGTCTTCGGGTCAAGAAGTGAACAACAGAGGAGAATCAACTCAATCGAAGTCTGTCCGCTATTCGTTCTGTTTCCTGTTTCAAGGTACGGAACATACGCAAATGCGGATGTCTGCATAATATGCCCATATAGGATGTGTGGCTTTTGTCCGAGGATGTGTCAAGTAACATCCTTCTTATTCGTGCAAAGCAACACTACAGTAATAGGTAGTTCCAAGTAGTCTCAGTCCCGGTACCAGTTTTCAGTCCTCGGTCCCAAAGGAAAGTTAATCTTATAATTAAAGAAACCGGACCTCAGCATCTCCCGGTCCAAGTACATCAAAATCAAAACAGTCCTCTTGAGATAGACCACTGGACTGGGCGCTAACTGAAACAAAGTCCAGCATCAACCCCGGATCCGGACTCGGATGATGGGATGGTGTAAAGAGAGATGAAACACAGCAACTGGCAGTTAGCAACTATCTGTACATCTGTGTGTTCCTCTCCTCCACATCCGTCGGAAGCCAAGTGCGTTTGCATCTCTAGACGTGTGTGCCATGTGCAACCATGTGTTATCTGCGTGGGTGGCTTGATGTAGACAGCTTGATGTATGATGTATGATGAATTGTTCCGACTCATCGGAAAGAGACGAGGAACAGGATGACGGATGACGGGATGACGAAACGAGGAAGGATACCGATACCAACCTGATACGACTTTACAGAAGCAAAGGCGAGTTTTAGAAAAAGGAAGGAAGAAGGCGAAAATCAGGCGAAGAAGAAGACGAACAGAGGTGATACCGACAGGGGGGAGGTAGTAGGATCGGGTGATACACCATAAAGCAAAGCAAAGAAATAGATCGAGGAAGAAGGGCTGTTGCTTCGAATGTTATATTTGATGGGGGCGTCTTTTACAGGTCCCAGGTCCGAAACAGAGTTTTCCAAGGAGAGTACTGAGTAGGCGACGAGGATAGCATACTGTACCGGATTGTTCAGATTGGGATGTGTAAGCCATAGACCACAGACCTGAGACTAGACCAATAGACCATAGAGTTTAGGTAGGACGTAGGATATAGGACATAGGACATAGGGGATTGATAAGTATAGGAGACGACCGGTAACTCAACTCATACGCGAGTCGAGGCGATTAGAGTTTATGCTTTACTTTGAACAGGCAACAACGAATGGATCGGAGGCGAATTAGGTTGGTGTTAGAGCTGGAAATGGTACTTGCCTCGCTGATTCGAGTGTGCCGTTGGCGCTGATATTAAAGTATACTTTACATATGCATTCATTCATCTCGGCGAATTCGCGGAGTGTTTGACGACGCAGATTACATAGATTACAGTTGTCTCCTTGCCACGCGAGAAAGGCGAAAAAGAAGGCGAGACGGGGAGGCCGAGAGTGCGAGAAGAGAGAACAAACGAATAGGGAAGGAGGGGAGAGTGTGAGAGTCCGACGGACGCTGAGCTGACAACGTCCCTCCGGCCGCTGATTTGATGAGACAACAGAATCTGAGGAGAGCGTATGGTGTGGTGTGGTGTGGGATGGATGGGACTGATGGGGTAGAAGGGCTGACGCAGACAGATTGGCCCCGCAGGCGCCGCACAGGCCAGAAAGGCAAGAAAAGTCAAGAATGGGTAGTGTACTGCTATGATGCTCTGCTGGCAAGGAGAGGTGGGGAACAGGTGATCATGGAGATGCGCGTCCTGTTACCCCGCACATAGCGGCCCTTCCCATCGGCCTGTGTTGGGAGCGAGCGTGTTTCGCATGAGGTTGGATGGCTATGGCTGTTCGGTCGGACAGACAGATTTGTGGTTGTTGTTGTGCTCGTCGCTGTCGCTGCTGGCGGTAGTGTCGTTGACGTTGTTGCTGCTACCGGCGTCGTCGGGGAGACAGAGACCTGCGCCGATACGCATGCAGAAAAGGGCATGGCGAGCGGGACGATATCGACCCAGTCGCCTGGCCTAATTAGTTAGTTGCCCAATCGCGATGCTCGACGGGTGGACCGAGAGGTGGACCCCGGGAAGTGCTGGAGAAAGAACGGGTGACCGGGCAGGGCTTGCCGATTGGACGATTTGCAGGCAAGGCACGACTCGCTTCATCTCCGCGGCTCACTACCCCACCCACGTTCCAGACCAGGTGTGCGATTGCAGGGCCATATGCGGAATAAATGGGTCGGGGCAAGTCGCGCCGGGCAATATAATAAAATAATAAATAATTTGCGAGGGGAGGAATATACGCCTGCCTGATTGGGCGGCTAGGCGGACAGGCGAAAGCGAGCCTGTCCATATCCATATAGGAGGTCATGTCCACTGCAACTTGTCCCGTTACCCCGTCCTCCCACCCACCCCTGCTACTCTCCACTTCACCCCCGTCGCTCGTCGTCCTCATCGTCTCCGACGCGCTCCCCGTCGTCGCCACTCTTGTTCGCGCATTTTTAAAGCCCGCGTCGACGACCGTAATCGTTTGCAGTGCACGAGCAGCCCCTTTGCACGCGCTTTGCACTAACCATCTATACGCGCCCCGCCCATATCGAGCGAGGTCCAGTTTGCCTTTGCAACGGTGCATGTACGTGCTCTTTTTCATTGCGCCCATTCCCTTTCCTCCATTCCTTTCTCTCTGGTCTATTCTTTAATCTTGTCTCGCGTCTTTGTTTCCGTGCCCCTGCCTTTCACCGAGTTCGCTCCCCGTTTTATCCAATTATCTCCCTCCATTTCTCTTAAACCGCCATTGTCCAGGTCCCGTGCCCGTCCATTCCTCTTATACATATCCAGTTCATTCACATTCACTCCTCTCTTACTATATATTACAAACCTGCCTTTGTCTCCGTTCGCTTTATATATCCCGCCTCTACTCAGGCTCACCATCGCTTACAACTCCTGCAATAGCTCCACAAAAGCAACCATTACTCGCTAATGGATACCGACATACATCTCGACACCTCCTGGTGTCCCGTCTGTGACTGTGCCATCCTACCCAAGCGCTTCACCATCCCCGTCGACCTCCTGCAGACTGGCTCGAGCACGGCGATCAAGACCAGCCAGACGACCCGCACCAAGAACGGCACTATTAAGGCTCGGGCTGGCGGTCTCGTCCAGGGCACCGGTCGCGTACGCCCAGCACTCAACCGAGCCGCATCGACGAGGGGGAAGACCGCTTCCCAACAGCAACAGCAGTTGATCGAGGAACCAACACCAGCGGTGCGGACAAAGACGGTGATCGACCAGGCGCAGACCCCTCTCTACTGCAGCGAAGAATGCCGCAAGCGCGACCTCGAGGAGTCATGGCCTGTCACCCCTGCGCCCGCACGCGATGTCCTCGATGGCCACCGTCGATCGTCTCGGATACGATTAGGCGCACATCCTGCACAGATCAACCCCGCCCGCGCGTCTCCACCTCCACCCAGCCCAACTTTACCACCGGTGCCACCAAACTCATGGCGCGCTCCAATGGGTCTCAAGGCGCGTGACCTTGAGCTCAACTTTGACGAACTGGCTGCGAGTATCCAGGAGGCTGATGAGCACTCTGACTCATCGAGCGCCACTGGGACTAGTTTCACCACGTCTGATCGTTCTCCGGTCGAGGAACGTGACAGCATTGATACATCAAACCTCTACACGGATCCACCACCACCACCTCTCGCCCCGCTACCCCTCCATCCTCATCGACCTAGCGCACCGGTCGTGCCACCGGGTGCGAACCGCACGCAATCACATCCACTGTTCGAGGGAGGGATCATGATGGCGGCAAAGCGATTGCAGGCACTGCTCGCATCGGATGTCTCCGATGACGAGAAGACCCGCGCAGAGCGGAGAGCGGCGGAAGAGCAGCAGAGGAAGGTGGAGGCACGTCTGAGCCGATACGACGTCACCGGCGAGTATGCGCGCTCAAGCAGCAGCGAGCGTGACAAGAAGCGGCAGGAAGTGCCCGCAATTGATCCGATGCGATGGACCGAGCTTGTATACAACTACAGGTCGGGCTCATCCTCACCACCCTCAAACCCGGGCATCCCTTCGACTCACCGTCGGGCATCGGACTCGGATCCTTCGAAGAGGATTCGGTCTCCGGGTGCACCTAGCCGCACGCAAAGTGCCCTCGAACTTTACGCCAAGTACCCTCTGTTTGCCCGCTCGACCTCCAACACTGCCCCTCGCAAGACGAATAAGTCGAGCGCATCTCTTGCAACTACTTTTGCTCCTGCATATGGCGTCACTTTATCCTCATCGACATCCATCACGAGCTCTACAAGTAGCGTGTCTGGCCGGACTGCAGGTGCTAGTGCATTGACGATTCCTGGCGTGGACCCAGAGTTGTACGCTGGGAAGCGTCTCGGCGGCGGGCCCCGCCGCCCGATCGCGAAGGGTGTCGAGAAGCAGCTGCTCGTTCCGGATGTCCTCTTGCGTCCCACCTTACCAGTCAGCAGCTCGTTGCCCACGGGCATGAGCCCACCGTCGCGACTCTCATCGGAGATGAAGCGTAGCGGAAGCGAGGCGAATGTCAGCAGGAAGTCTGGGAGGAGCGCAAGCGTACTTGGCTCGGTTAATGAAGGTGATGTTGAGGGCGTCCAGGGTGTTTGGCATCGGCCTGAGGAGGGTAGCGAGGACTCGCGCAGTAGTGTTACTCGTTCTAGTACGAGTGATCAGGAGAGCAGGAGTCGAAGAGGGAAGAAGAGTCGGTCGAGCAAGAGCGGGAGCAGGCAGCCTATCGCAGAAGGTGAGCTTTACTTCACAGGTGTTATTTGTGCTTGCATGTTCTGATGGGTCCCTGGTGATGTAGAATCAAGCTGGTCTTATGAGAATTCAGGTCCGGTTTACGACGCGATGCCTGCCATCCCCGTGAAGCAGACTCGATATGAAGAAGCCTTCGTTCCCGACGAGCCCTCTCCGGAAGGTGAAGAAGAGTACATCGAGCGTTCAGCGTTGCATGCGCGCGATATTGAGCTTTCTCGCCGAGCAGTCTGTGAGGTCAAGCGGCGCCGTGGTGAGCGAAATGGTAAAGCTGGCTGGTGGGTTGAGAAAGAGTGGGAGGTGACTGTCATCCCCGAGCGGAAGCGACTTTTCCTGTTTGGCGGATCGAAGGGAAACGGGAAGAGGAATTGAGCGCTTGCGACGCAAGCAATACGTTCGACGAACCATAATCGATCGCAACGTCCAACCAAAAGCAAAAACCACTGTGTTAATATGTACCATTATCTGTATATCACCACTCGATTTCTCTGGTCTCGCTCTCGCTTTCTCCCTGGATCTTACGCTCTACTCGTATATTCGATATACCCTACCCTCGCAAATAACGAACAAACTCCTATCGGCGACCGCCTTCGATTAACTCGCTATCGCATACCCCATCGAACGTGCCAAGTGCCAAGTGCCATGGCACATTAATAATTCATTGTTGCATCGAACCGTGATGTATCGCGGTGTCATTTGTACATTGTATTGTTGCATTTGCTGGATTTCTTTATCTTTTTATCCTTTTTATTTTCTTTCTTGTGTCCTCCCTGATGCTCCAACGTCACTCTGTGAAGTTGATGAAAGAGCACTGGGATTGCTATGCAGTTGTTTTGCTTGTTGGTTTCTTCATTGTGTATTTTTTTCCCCTCGTGCAATTTGTTTCTTTTCTTTCTTGTGTACCATTACCCTCAAGGGACCTTACTCTATTTTACTACTAGTACTTTTCCTTTTTCTTTTTTTTTCTTGTCGTTGGTGCAATGGTTCCTTTCCTTTTGTCTGCTTCACGAACTTTACGCAATCATGGGTCTGTTTTTTTGCAACGCATTTTGTCTTATAGTCGTTTATTCTATTTTATTATCTGTGCATGCATGTTTTGTTTTTTTATTTCTTTATCAGCAATGACAAGGGTTGGTTTTGAAGTCGAAAAAAAATCGAAGTGTGATTTTGAATTCTTCTCGGGCGGGATAATTTGGGTTGTATAAATTGTAAATTGTATTCGTAGTGGTAAATGTGTAAATAGCGCGAAATGCCAAACGTATATACATCCGTTTTCCTGATTTCTTTTTGTGTGTGGGTGTGATGTATTTTGTTATTGGTACAGCGGAACAATCTGCAGTTAGGCTTTAAGGAAGTAAAGAAGACCCCCTCGCGTCGAGGTCTCGAGGCGGAATGAGGAGGCTTTAGGGACGTACTCGTCCTAATGGGTTAATGGGTTATTTTCATTAAGATTCTGGAGAGGGGAGGGAGGACGAAAAGGGATACGAGGTTCCCGTGTTCTTGTGAATGCTTTGTTCGAAATTGACGATAACTGATGGGTTGTGTGGTGCATTGGTGTGGGTCATATGGGATGCGCGATGGGGGGTCCAGATGGAGGTGAAGACGTATCTCATGACATGGGATGTGTGTAATTGTGTATCGCCTGACCTGCCTCGGGTGCTTGATGTTATTTTGAGATTAATGCTACTTTAATAGCAGTTATCGATGTATGTTGATGTTGTTCATATGAAATGGGCTGTGCTACTATTAGGGCTAACCACCCAAGATGAGTAGTTTGGCGGCGCCCTTTGTAGGTTGTGTAGGTTTGTGTGGTGTCGGGAGAAGTCGGGATCTTTGCGGTGTGCCTATGCCTTGTATCCACCAGGTTCCTGCATGTCCATGATGAATACGAGACTGACTCGAGTCCAGGACAAGGCGGGATCTTTGTACTTATGTATGATGTATCCACCAAGTTCCAGAGCATACGTTATGGTAGGTGACTCCATGTGAATGCGAGACTGACTCGAGTCTGCTCGTGTTTCATTTCACGGCATTACCTTCTAAGTGGTGTGTAGCAATGTATGATGTATTCGTCCATGTCATCCTGTCTGGATTGCAGTACTGCCCCTGCATAACGTATCCATGTGAAATTCGAGACTGACTTGAGTTCACTCGTGTTTCATTTCATGGTATCATTTTACGGTACGTATCAGTTCCAGGCGTGTGCTTTGTGGGGATGTAAAGGTAAAGGATCCATATGCTCAGGGACGCTCTCCTTTTCCCTCAGAGTTTCAAGTGTCGGTAACTGCATTTCCAGACCAGGCAGGGAAAGGTTAGACATGGCTTATGGTTGGCTTGTGAAAATACGTATTCGCGTAAAATCAGAATATACTACAGTACGTACTCGATCTGCTGTTATTCTTTTACCCGTACTGACGGAGAAAGAAGAAGGAATCTGAAACTTCTGCAAAAGAGAAAAACCACCGAAATTAATATGAAATTCGACATGCGATTTTAATATATTGAGATTGATGTTATTGATTTGATAATTTAGTGTACATCCGGGGAACAAGTATTACGAGCATGAGTGTATATTGTACAGATGGGGCTCACATCCCGCCGATCCCGACCCCGACCCCGACTCCGACCCCGAGTAGAATCGAATCGAATAGTCGAACGGTCAGAAAAATGTTGAAGGCATGTGAAAGCGACCGAATGAACTGAATGAAAACTTTGAAAGTGCTGGAACGACGTCAGAAGGGCGCTCCGATCAAATTTTCGAAGTTGGGGGATAATGATGGAAAGAAATTCGTAACCGGGGGATAAAGAAAATAGAACCATGGTTAAGATTGAACGACATGCCAAGTAGGATTGGCTTGAGCTTAAAACTATTCGCCGAATACAAGTCCACAATTACTTCATCGAAATCTCCGTAAACGGAGTCTAGTACTATTGCTAGTACTAGTAATACATGTAGTGAGGGACTATTCAAGTTTGTTAGCATGCTGTGCTGCACGAAATCATATGCTAAACTAGAGGTCTAAAGGGTTTCAGAGTGAGACATTCTGGGCCACGCGACGGAGGATGATGACGAGGATCAAAAGACAAGGACCGTCGATCAGTCTAGCGTGCGCACTATCAAAAGCACAAGCATCGTTATCAGTGGTGGTACCACCAGCACCCATACCACCTATTCATCACAAGACAAAAACACATGCAATTCGTCTGGTCCCTCATTACTCTATTATCGTGAAATGTACGGGCATGGACACGAGAGCACCCAGTTAGCCTCCGATTCGCTCAGGAGAAGTCGGTGCATAGGATTAACGTTTGCATTACCATGATTTCTATGTATATCCGTCCCCGTTTAACCCACAAGGCAAAGTCTTTCGATCAAAAGCAAGGAAACCGAATCAAGTATTCTTAGGACTCGTGTTATGCTATCATTGCTATGTCATGATGCTCTCTATTCTATTTTACTCGATTAAGCGAATTCAACCTGTGCCACAACTCCTTTTGTACGAGCTCTGTGTTCGTCACAAGATGAAGTTGGGTTATGCGTGGGTCTTGTGATTCATTTATTTGTATATGGATCATACATAGAACTCAGATGTTGGGTGACTCGGCGGGCTTGACCTGTCTCGATGGAGGAACATCTCCTCAACTCGATCGAACGAGCGCGGGTTGAGGGAATTGGAGTAAACGCGGGGGAGGGTCCGGGAAGGCGCACTCATCGAGTCTTCCGAAGCATGTAATCGTTTGATTGGGTACTTGTCTTGTTCGTTCTTGATTGACAGGTCGAGGACTAGCCTCAGGACAAATAGGAGACAAGAGACAAGAGCGCAGAGCGGAATCGATCAAGTCGAGTTGAATTGGATGTGCGCTGAATTGGTGAAGCGTGCGTCGAGCGTCGTGAGGCTGTCTATGCTACAGGTGGTATGGAACGTTTGAAATTATAATAGCTGAACGTATGAATGGATTGACGGATGAAATGAATAGGGCTGAATTGGCCAATAGAATGAATACTTAACTCAATGAGAAGTATTGTGGTCACCTTTGGAGGTATCTTATTCGTCATATTTGGTATCCTTACTTAAATTACATTTCTTCTTGTTCTCTAGGCTCGAGCTCGACTCCTAACACGAGGCGACTAACTCATTTTGACAACTTAACGGATTAACGACGCACGCATGCTTGGCAATTGTCCTGGACCTACATAGCAAACATTTTAACATATTAATTAATATCGATGAATGCTATGTTATAATTACAATGCGGGGAAGACCTGTCATCATCACTTTCTCCTATTTTAGCACTAGTGCGTTGTTATTATTATCGAGAACACAAGAACTCAAACGAAGTAAACTAATTTATCGATTGCGGCGTTAAGTAGAGGACCGAGGTATGTCGTGCGGCTGGCAGGTGCGGAGTATGTGGGGATTTAGGCTCGGCGTGTCTCATCAAGAGAACGTTCGTCCATCCGAGGTATCGGTTCTTGCGGCGTGGAGAAACGTGTCACGTCGGGGAAACCACGAGTATGGATCGAGGAGGTTAAAGTCCGCAGAATATTGAACCATTTTTGATCGATTGTTTGGGCTACTCCATCTGAGTACAATTAAATTCCTAATGGATGTGTGTTATTCTCATAGGAGTTCCGAGGTCTTTGAGAATGAAGGAATAAACTCCTCTTGAAGTGCGGACATGGTTCGGAACGGTGATGAAAAGAGTCGGAACCTAAGTGGGCAATCGACGATTGATCTGCGCATGATCGACGCGCTGTTGTGTCGACTCCGTACTCGTCTCAATTCTCAGTACAGCACTCCCGCTCTTTTATCTTTCTCAACTTCTAGAGCACATTCCTTACGCGTGCAATGTGGTCAGTACTTCGAGTCTCTTGCTGCTTTCACAATAGCTCATTGTCATTGCTACATCGACCCTTAAAACATTTGTCACAAAGCAAGCACATTTTAAACGCACAAGTCTCTATCCGTGCACCTTGCTGTCGACAATGGTACGACTGTGCTGAATGCCATGCTGAAGCTCAGACACACAAGCTTGTCAAGACTACCGAGATGGTGTTTATGTGCAAGAACTGTCGGAAGGCATTTCGCAAGAATATAACGGAGTATGAGGAGAGTGATGAGTTTTGCCCACATTGCGATAATCATTATGTGCGTTCCTTTCTCGATTTCCAATTCTATCAACATTGTGCTGTGCGATAAGAAGAAAGGAAGGGATTATAATGCCTGTCATGCTCTAGGTCATTGAAGCAAAGATGCCTCAGGCAGCGTTGGCAGTAGAGATGGACGATGCTCGGCGAGACCCTCGGTACGTCATTCTCATTGGGATCTTCATCTCGTTGCTTCTCTGAGCTATCGTACCTCCTTGACAGAATGCTCAAAGATGATCGGGTACCAGCAAAAGAACGACAGCTGCCAACTGAGGATGAGCTTGCAGAACTATTAAATGACTGAAGAAGCTTTCTTGATTCATCCACGTCGTCGACTTGTTGTCCTGCTGCTTTGCTAATATGTAATACCCTGGCATCAACTTTGAGTGTATCGCTTCAATTCCGTATACGTCGATTTGCATGCGTCCCTTCATTTGATTTGAACAAGCATCGGGCGCTGTGAGGATTGGGACTAAATATCGTGTCACTCTGTCAAGCAACGACAGAGACGCATCGGTCTTTCAAGAAATTAATCTACGATCGGATAACATCGTAGGATAGGAGATGTTCTGTTGTTACCTGCGGTATGTCCGGCTTCTCACTTCAAAATTAACACAAGTTAATCCACAATTATTCCCTTGACCCACGATTATTTAGTACCACTCTTCACACTATCACGCCAGGACATTCGTAGGCTAAATCTCAATCAAAGTTCGGCTACATGTTTGCAAAACGTCACAACTCGATGTTAACGTCAATTCACACGTTACCCCGCATTGCGTCGTATTTCCGACGTTTGGCGTTTGCCATGCCGAAGTCGGTGTTAGTGAGCGAGCGTGATGCAAAGCCGTTATTTTTGACGTCCGAGTCGATGTCCGTCTGAAAGACAAAGGCACGGCGTCCTTGTCCTGTGAATAATTTATTGCCAGCTCATCCGACGTTGGTTCATCATTCAACCCGACTTGACCACTGTCCCTAGCTTCTTGACATGTATGAAAGCAATCTACTGACCAGATGACCTTGAAGAAGAGCACGCGTGCTGTCAATGAAAGCACCCATGATAGCATCCCGATAAGCGAGTCTATTCTTTGTACGTACATACGTGTGCGGGGAAAACGAGACGCAAGTCCGTTGGAGCTCGAAGACAAGGAATACACCGGCGGAATCTCGGGCAACAGCCGTCTTGAGAGTAGGAATTGCCGGATGTTGTTTCGTCGTGAGTACATTAGTTCGTACCCTCGGGTGTATTCTCGGAGTCTGAGTTTTTTCGACAAGGCGTATCTTTTTCTTCGTACGCTATGTGTTGTCACGCCATATGCATTTCAAAGTCGAGGGATAGACTGGCCGAAACTGATCACCGCCGATATTTCCTTTGAATTGGAAATATAATTACCGAGCGGGAAGGCTAAACTCTACTTAATGAAAAGTAGAAGAGGGTACGGCATTTGCCAAGTTGTTAATATAAATTTCAATGCACCTTTCAAGGGACTTTGGCCGTAGGCCGATGCTTCGAAGCTTCGGATTCACCGAAGTTATCTGATCTGATTGAGAGCCTGTGAGTCGGTTAGATCGAAGGTTGAACACTCGGATAGATCGGTCCTCGATGATAACAATGCTGCTGTGGAGAACCCCTTGGAAAAGAGGGCATCGGGAATATCTCTGTCCTTCTGGCAATCCTGTTGGGGGCATATTATGCTCAAGGAAGGAGAAGTGGGGAAGGTGATCGGCCCGTTGTTCCGCTTCCCGAGGTCGAGAACCTTTCTTCGGCCGTTGGTTGGTTGGTTCGGAGGAACGGCTTGCCAGCTTCGGGGTATACACGTGCTATCATATTGATTACTTATTTTGTCCCGTGTTGTACAGGTAATAATTCATGAAAATAAACGTCTAGCGTTTGTTCATGGCTGTGATTATGTCAGCCTAGGCATCGTATTTCACGGGCCTCCACTAAGCCTTCAGCAATGCTCAACCGAATGTGCATGTTCGTTCGGGATCGCTCGGGCCAGGCACAACCGTGGACCGCGTTATATTTGTTCAGAGCAATAAAGCTTAAATTCTATTACGCCGTCTCATTGGCTCAAACTTTCGTCTGTCGACTCTGGGGATTGCGGCCCGGAATGTCTTTCCATCGGTCGACCATCACCACTCCTGTGCTTTAATGGGAAAGAGGGTATAGGGGCCGGATACGAGGGGGGAAGACTCTGGACACCCGTGTCGGAGGTAGAGCAACAGAATATCTAAATCGCAGAGCCCGCTGAAAATGGGCAGCGTTCGGATGCCCGCACCCCGCGTATTTGCATACATTGACCGAAAGAACGATTAACACGACTGGTCAATTCAATCGCCTGCACCTCAAATCGTCTCTTTACGCTTCAAGAAGCAAGTACAGGATCCTCGAAATGGTCAATACAGGCGTTCTTTTCCTCTACGTTCTCAACATCAACACGCGCGCGGCGAGTACAAGGGAAAGAGCGAAGGCGTGCATGGGAAGGAGACGGGTACATTAGTATGAATATGGAAGTTAACCCGTTGAACAAGAAGCAGCTGTAGTCTAGTAGTGCTGGGCCTGCGAAACACGTTGCCCTTCTGTCTGTCGGTAGCCGCGGACGAACTGATTGGCTCGATTCTTAGACCTGGACTTTGATTTGATCGACTCCTCGGGATTACAGCCGTTGCCTCCAAGCGCTTCGCTGATCGCAGAGAATAATGGTACCGCGATCGGTGGAGTTTATCATCGAGAACTGCGATATATAATTGGGAATTTACTGTCAGACTGTCGGTATGGTATGGCGTTTCCTAATATGATGTTTGGAGGAGAGGTACTATATCCGATATAAATCTATAAGTTAATTGCCTTATAATGGATTGATCAATAATATCTAATATTCACGGAGTCGACAGACTTGTCCGAATGTCTCACCAACGTTCTCCCCAACGCTTGCAAGTGGAGAGACGCTTTCCGAGAACCCCATTAGCGATAACACCTCAAAGACATACGGCTACGTATGCAGAATGAAAAATGACGTATTCACCGAACCTCTATACTTCGATTATCAATCAATCTACGCGGCGTGTTGCCACCGTGTTCATATTCGCTGCTGATATTACTCATTGTATCAATGCATGAGAGAAGCGTGTCTCATACCTTCTGCACGAGTAATACGCGTTTTCCGTTGATTGAATAGATTGGATTGATTGAGTATGTAAACGAAGCTTATCGGATTAATTGATCATTGGTTATTCGCTAGTTCTCTTGCCTTTACGTGTAGGAAGAACACAAGAGTGTGCGGCTCAAGTGCGTAAATACGGCAGCGTGAATTTCGGATATACGAATCATATGTGTCTGGCATACGTTCTTCAACCAAAGGGAGTAAAAATAGATAGTGCATACTATTAAAACATATCATGCTATTAATATTATTGCGTTGTATTTTTCTGTCTGGCCAGCTTCTGCCGAGGCACTTGCGTATGTTAATCCTTCGCATAATCCTCGCACTTTACCTCTCTCTCTTCTTAGTCCGATCAAAATCCGCTGGAAATTCGGACCGGACATTTGTATAATTTGTAGAACGAACCTCCCCGATCATAAACTTATACAGAAGATAGGCCGTAAGCACGGAGTGAGCGGTAAATCAATGCGATTACTCTGCACAAAGCATGACTCTGCTACAGCCTGTTGACTCAAAGAGCTGCACATGTGTTAGACATGTGCGATCCCGACGCGAACGGAGAGGCATTAACCAGGAGTATGTATTTCTTTGTGGATGCAAGGCTCGGGCTGGCTTGGGTCCGTGTGAGGCTTTGAGCAGTTTTTAAGTTTCTTTCCCTTTGATTTGTTTAGGTGCTAGTCTCGTTGATATTGTTACTAGTGTTAGTGAGTTTCATAATGTCAAATGGATTCCCGAATGAGTCGCTTGTTTCGTTCTGAACCATATGCATATCTTGCCCGAAAAGGAGCAGTCCAGTACAGGAGAAAAGAGATAGGCATGAGCACATGCTGGTAACTGCTATCTGTTCTCATATGTCTTTGTTCTTATCTAGCGCTGTTGTTGAGACTAGCTTGTAGTAACGACTTCAATTCCTGTGGCGGGTATTTCGCTAGATTTAATATTGGAGACACACGAGACCATATGCATCAAAGAGCGAAACAGGAGTTACATGTCGAGATAGAGGCGCGCGCTTTAATCAAACATGGTTTAGAAAGAGTCTAGAGTCTGTAGACATGGGAATCGATGTTGTGGCGATTACTATTCCGCGCTGGGGGTGATACTAGTACTCGATTTGGGACTGAATTCTTCGTTGGCCCGGGCAACATCGGGCTCATTCTTCTCGTGCGGTCCACTGACCTGACCTGGTCTGGCAACCCGACTCGATATGACTCGACATGGCTCCACACATTGAACCTTCCGGCACAGGTCTAGGGCGTATATGACTGAACTTAGAGTAAACATAGCCTTGCCTTGACCTTACTGCATTGCAGTAAGTAGTATCGTCTGACTTGGTAGTTCCCCCATGGTTCAGGATGTTCGGCGCGTGGCCGGCAATAGACGGCTTCTCGTCGAGACTTACCTCGCGTCAACACATGCTCGATTCTCTGCACTGACAAGAAGAGTATTTTACTTACTTCAGTCATTGGTGCTAGCCCTATTCAGGTACGTCTCGAACATGCATACAGGTTCGCGGATCCTAAAGAGTCAATCCATTTCTTCGCTGTCAAGCAAACCGAGGCTTTTTCGGTTCGAAGTCTACCGCACTTCATGTCAACATGCCTTCTTGTGTGCTTTGTTTCCGTTCTCCATAGATGTTCTTCAATTCGTATGATCTTCTTTCATGGCTCTAGAGCTACGAATTGTCCTGGAGATCGCCCGTTCCTTAATAGTTGTATGTACCTCGGACGCTAACATGTTGTCGTAACGAATGTAGTCTGAAGGAACTCCTGTAGTTTCGCGGGAAACGCACTTGCAGAGTCGAGAACTGAGACTTCGGGGTCCTTGACATGATCGAAACGGTGGGATGACCGAAGACCAACTTCCATCCACCGAGCTCAGAATGCCTCCGGAACGCCGTAGAGATCAAACCAGCGTCGTGCAAACGCGCTGGCTAGCCGCGAGGTCCACGCGAGGCTGTGATAATGTCGATAAGTCGCTTAGATGGCGTAGTTATTCTGGGTCAATGCACATTTTATATTTTGGGCATTTGGCCGTGATATTCGACTCGGTAGGAAGATTACCGCCTATTATTATCCCTCGCGCTTGCGTGAATGGAAGTACGTGACGTATTACAATGATTGTTCGGCCTTGGAATTGTTTATCGCTGTGTGCTGTGTATGCGCTATGCGCTAAGATTTGCACGGGATTGAGTCTGAATGGGATACCAATCCGTTGTTTACTTTCTGGACCAGGTTACGTCATCAATTATGAATAAAAACGCCGCATGGTCAACGCGCCCAACAACGTGCGCATTCGCGCTCGATTGAAGTTCGATTGAAGCTCCATCTGTCTACAAAGCGAGCATTCCGGATAATTACATTAGGAGTAATGCGCATTATGTGCGTCAAGAATGCGCTTGCTTGGATAACACGGAGCCCGCCGTGAATCAACTCCATATGAACCTCAAACGTACCTTAGTACCTATGGCTCATAATGTTATCGCCACCACAGACCGCCGCTCAGATGGACGTACCGTGTTAGCCATTCGGATTTAGCACGTTGGGTCGCTGATCCGTTTTCGCTGATCATTATAGTGTGGGGTAAGATCTGTGATGATGCACGCACGTTCCACTGAATAGTCATCATCAGTGCATTCGGCGAAACAAAGAAGCAATAATTCCGTGCGGCATCGAAATAACTCACCCGAACTCCGCATGGGGTTGAGCATGCAAACTCTGGATACCGACATACTCGTGACTACGTTATGTTTCGGTTCGGTTTCTGATGTGAAGCCGAGACGAGGTGCAGAGGTTCGGAACGGTCCTTGTTTCTATGCGGGGTCAGAGAATCGTCCTTGGCCGCAATTCATATGATTGTTAGTTTGGTTAGAAGGTGTAGACCTTAAGTACGGCCGCTATGTAGCGTATCGATATTTTCAATGCAATAGAGGGGAAATGAAAACGAGACGCAAAACTATTTTTAATCCGCTCTAAAAAAAAGAACCGATAAAGCATGACTGAATCGGGTGCGAACTTTGTAAAGGTCGTGAGCACTTAGCATGCATACAGTTTCGTATACAAGCTGCACAGGACAGCCTTGTGAGACTCGATAACTGCACGCCAATCTCCATGCAGAATAGCACACATATCCGTAATGAGTAGCATGGGACAGTCGCTCACCATTGCAGTGAACCAGTCCAGCTCAATACAAGCAGACCAGAGATCCCTGACTGCAACATTCATCATGGTGTAAAAAATTCCGGGAGTTCAATGATCATCAGTTCGACTGGAAGATCATTCCTATGTGGAGATATCCGACTTCAGGCTCATCGCTTCGGAATGAGATTTCCCATTCAACAATCGTCGTTCATGGAAAGAAGCCTTCAGTCGGTGTCTTGCGATCCCGGATGATCTGACTCGTTCGTTACATCATAGGTTGCGAGGCTCATGCAAATCAACGACTTTCGGAAAAGTGCACGGATGGCCCACTTCTATCCGATGCGGATACTTGATGATCCAAATTCTGTGCTCAAGTAAAAAACATATGGGTAACACTGCGGATCCTATGCATCAATGTTATCCCCGTAAAACTGCTTCAGAAGTGCGAGAGCGCACAAATGGATCCGCAGGATCATCTACCTTTCAGCCTTGGCCAGGGGTGTGCTTCTTGCATGCATGAAAGCAGTAC